CAGCTCACTGTGAGCTGTAGCTCACGAAAGCTCATGCTCAAATAAATTGGTTAGTCTCTAAGGTGCCACAAGTACTCCTTTTCTTATTGGAAGTCAGGTAGTTTATTCAGTGTGCCTAACTCTGGGGATTTAAGGTAGTGAAATGAAGCATCCAGAGTTCAAAAGTCACGGGGCACAGAATCCCTAACTTCGGCCCCTTTAAATCTGGGACTGGTGTTTTAACAAAGATTCTGGCTGATATTCACATGTACAAGGCCAACAGCCCCCCCAAAACAGAACCAGAGTCTAGCATCACCATCTCATTGCCTTGATTTTGACTGACAGACACACCCCGCCCAGCTTTGTTTCTACATCACCTAGCTAGATTGTAAACTCTTCAGCACAGACTTCATCTCTATCTAAAGGACCTAGCACACCACTGGTGCTACAATATAAAATAATGTCCCCAGGCTACATCTTAGCATCTGGTGTAAGAGGAATTGCAGCAATGCAGGGAATGTCTTGTATCCCATCAAGGGAGAGGAGCCACTATTGCACAATAGCAGATACAGCATTAGATACACAAAAAGCACACCTGCAGGCCTTAGGTGTCAGGCAGTACCCTGAATGCAAAGGGGAAGCTCTGTTTTGTTCCAACTCCAGTCACCTGCAGATACTGTAATGATGATTTGTTCAACCAATGTCTTAGAGGTGCGGGGGAATTAGGCCTCGTAGTGGGATAGATTCCCTGCACTTTGCCCGTTCTTCAGCACAGCACCGCTGGGTCTCAGTGGCAGTCCGAAGCCGCCACTTGTTTCAACACTCAGCAGAACCAGCTAAGATCTATGATTACCAATGTGCAAGACAGTCAGGGGTGAGGGGCAGAAGCCTGATTTGAAAAGAACGTTCAATGGAACTGAAAAATCTCCTGTATGAAAGTGAGAGCCCCACACTTCTTGCTCCGAGTAGAACTTAACTGGAAATTGCAAGTCATGGCCCATTCAGGTTCAAGAGCATTAAAGCAAGTCATTCTACATTAGTCAAATTCCTGTTCAAACCAGTATATCTTCAGAGGGACGGCTCCTTTCTAGGCCACCAGTTCAACTCTAATCCACGTCAGCACTGACTAGTAGTGGTTACCATCCAACTACAGTTCAGTGGCTGCCCAGTTCATAGTGGAGAGGGGTCTAGACCACAAAAAAAGCTGTGACAGTTGGCACTAAATTGCCCTCCTCGTTAGCAATCTGGATTGGAACGGGCTACGGAGGGAGACTCAACGCCTTTCCCCTCCAGAGGTGGTTCTCTCACATCAGGGATCAGGGACTTTGGCAGAGTGGGGGAAATAGGCAATGCCCAAATGACCATCCCCCGAACGGGGGATATTGGTTTCCAGGGCACTTTTCACAAGTTTGAACTTTTACTTATAGGGCACATAAGTATGTGTGGGAGAAACACTGCTAAGGGCATGTACTTAGGGTGAACAATGACATAGATCAAACTTACTGATTTCTCCCTGTCCTGTCCCTTTTCTCAGATACATCGCACTCATGCCTTCTGCAGCATTTATGGGCCCTCAGTGCATTCATGCACAAAACCTGGACCACAGTTTTGACCCTTTGGGTTTATACCCTGACAAGATCAAGTAACAGAGATAAGTCAAGCAGGAAAAACGGATCGAATGTAGTTTTTTGCAGTCCCCAGAGCTACCTCTCCATTACTGCAGGGCTGAAAGCACACACCATGGCCCCACACCCCACGGGCTGCACAGTAAGGGTGGGGCAGCGGGTAGCCTGCGCATAAAAGTGTCATCTATTTCCCATAAATGCATCTGCCAGACAGCGTGCAAACATTCCGACGAGCCAGCTTGCCTCTTTAAAAAAATCCTCCCGCAAAAATGACAAGAGCCAACTCTGTGGAAAGCTGGACACTAGCGTTATTTCAAGATGGCTACACAAAACACAGGAGAAGACCCTGTGCTGAAGGGTGGCATGAAGGGGAAGGAGGGGGAAAAAGACAGATAACGACTGGATAACCCTACATGTCTTTCACGTCAATTTTTATCAACCTAATCCTTTCTTTAGCCTCAGACTTTGAGGGGTATATAATCTCACCCTCACCTAAGGCCACCAGGGACTTACATGCCTGTACCCAGATTAGTGATTGGAGGAAGCAAAAAGTCAGTTCTGTTAGGTCAAGAAATAAACTGAGTGAGTGAATGAATCAATCAAATGAAACCCTGCTTGGGAGCAGTTACATATAACACCGCCCATCCCCCTTTACCAATTTGGGAGACCATCAGCTCCTCTTCCTGATGGTTATCACCACACTGGTTACATTCTTCATTCAAAAAGAAAAGGAGTACTTGTGGCACCTTAGAGACTAACCAATTTATTTGAGCATGAGCTTTCGTGAGCTACAGCTCACTTCATCAGATGTGTACCGTGGAAACTGCAGCAGACTTTATATACACACAGAGAATATGAAACAATACCTCCTCCCACCCCACTGTCCTGCTGGTAATAGCTTATCTAAAGTGATCAACAGGTGGGCCATTTCCAGCTCAAATCCAGGTTTTCTCACCCTCCACCCCCCCACACAAATTCACTCTCCTGCTGGTGCCAGCCCATCCAAAGTGACAACTCTTTACATAATCAAGTCGGGCTATTTCCTGCATAGATCCAGGTTCTCTCACATCCCCCCACCCTCATACACACACAAACTCACTCTCCTGCTGGTAAAAAGAAAAGGAGTACTTGTGGCACCTTAGAGACTAACCAATTTATTTGAGCAAATAAATTGGTTAGTCTCTAAGGTGCCACAAGTACTCCTTTTCTTTTTGCGAATACAGACTAACACGGCTGTTCCTCTGAAACCTCTCCTGCTGGTAATAGCTCATCTAAACTGACCACTCTCCAAGTTTAAATCCAAGTTAAACCAGAACATCTGGGGGGGGGGGGGGGTAGGAAAAAACAAGAGGAAACAGGCTACCTTGCATAATGACTTAGCCACTCCCAGTCTCTATTTAAGCCTAAATTAATAGTATCCAATTTGCAAATGAATTCCAATTCAGCAGTTTCTCCCTGGAGTCTGGATTTGAAGTTTTTTTGTTTTAAGATAGCGACCTTCATGTCTGTGATTGCATGACCAGAGAGATTGAAGTGTTCTCCGACTGGTTTATGAATGTTATAATTCTTGACATCTGATTTGTGTCCATTTATTCTTTTACGTAGAGACTGTCCAGTTTGACCAATGTACATGGCAGAGGGGCATTGCTGGCACATGATGGCATATATCACATTGGTGGATGTGCAGGTGAATGAGCCTCTGCCATGTACATTGGTCAAACTGGACAGTCTCTACGTAAAAGAATAAATGGACACAAATCAGATGTCAAGAATTATAACATTCATAAACCAGTCGGAGAACACTTCAATCTCTCTGGTCACGCAATCACAGACATGAAGGTCGCTATCTTAAAACAAAAAAACTTCAAATCCAGACTCCAGCGAGAAACTGCTGAATTGGAATTCATTTGCAAATTGGATACTATTACTTTAGGCTTAAATAGAGACTGGGAGTGGCTAAGTCATTATGCAAGGTAGCCTGTTTCCTCTTGTTTTTTCCTACCCCCCCCCCCCCCAGATGTTCTGGTTTAACTTGGATTTAAACTTGGAGAGTGGTCAGTTTAGATGAGCTATTACCAGCAGGAGAGTGAGTTTGTGTGTGTATGGGGGTGGGGGGGATGTGAGAAAACCTGGATCTATGCAGGAAATAGCCCGACTTGATTATGTAAAGAGTTGTCACTTTGGATGGGCTGGCACCAGCAGGAGAGTGAATTTGTGTGGGGGGGTGGAGGGTGAGAAAACCTGGATTTGTGCTGGAAATGGCCCACCTGTTGATCACTTTAGATAAGCTATTACCAGCAGGACAGTGGGGTGGGAGGAGGTATTGTTTCATATTCTCTGTGTGTATATAAAGTCTGCTGCAGTTTCCACGGTACACATCTGATGAAGTGAGCTGTAGCTCACGAAAGCTCATGCTCAAATAAATTGGTTAGTCTCTAAGGTGCCACAAGTACTCCTTTTCTTTTTTCAAATACAGACTAACATGGCTGTTCCTCTGAAACCATTCTTCATTCAGATACCTGTTAAATCTGATGAATTTGTCTGTTTCTAAATACATGCCTGGTGAGAGCCTGCTTTAATATCCTGGGCTTCCCCCACTTGCTCCAGTCTAGCAAACCATCTCTTTAATGGGAGATTTTTGGCATTTCACTGGAGTTCTCACCACTTAGAATTGGTACAGTCCAATGCAAAACACATTTTCAACACAATAAAGAGAAGATGTTTAACAGAGTTCCGTTATAATTTTACTGTGTTTAACAGAACTACACATTTATACAAAAGTTTTTCAACCATTCGGTATTAAAACTGAGAAGAGAGGCTACAAAACCAGAAACAGATACAAGAGTCTTTAATCTACCCCCAATCTTGAGAGGCGTCATTCCATTGGACAGATGCAGAAACTTTGCAAATGCAACTGCAAAATGAATTCCAATCAATTCACAGAGAAATCTTCAAGCCAAGAGTCAGTTCTAGATCAGCATCTCAACATATTCATAGACAGTTTTAAAATTCTAGGTTTTTTTAGCCTCATCCCCTCGCATACAAGTAAAAACATGCTAAATAGTTGAAAAGCTCAAATATATCATCTTTCCTGAGGATGCTGCATGCTTACATGGCAACTGGAAAACTTTGGTACTTTGAACAGCTATCCCAGCCTTAAGAGGAAGAAGTAAAAAATAGTTTTCTTACAGTAACCAGTAACTTTTAAGCACATATTTGCAAAAAGAAATAAAATGTAAGATTCTGCTCTTTAAAGCATTAGATTAAAAAAAAAGGAAAATGAAGTAGAAACTGTAAAAGCGTCAAATAAATTCCAGGGTGTCACAAGGGATTTTTTGGACTTGGCTCAGCAAATAGGTTGTCTTTGGTTTCATACAAGCACCAATGTTTGTAAAGCACAAAAAAAAAAAAAAAAAACCCACAGCAACACACACTGAAAGCTACATTCAAAAAAACCAAAAAGAGCTATTGGAAGACCGTCAGATTTTTCAAGTACACCCAGTGATTTGGTTCAGAAATTAGGAAAAGGGTAAGTATTCAATACTTTTGCATTGGCAGGGTGTTCATTCCAGAAACAGCCATTTTTTGGAACATGAACCGTTTGTTTGAACTGGTTTACCAGAAAGATCAACAACAGTTCCAGAAACGCTCCCTGGTCACTAATACAACAGCTTGTAAATGTACTACTACTGAGGCATGGACTGTGGCCAACCCAATGGTCTAATTAAAGGTATATTTTAGAAGTCTTACTTCATGGACCACAATGAATCATTTCACAACCTCAGCACCTTTTTAAATGACACAAAATCTAGTTCTTCTGTAAACCAACATTTGGAGACATGAGTCATCTGTGTTTGGGCTTCTGGCTTTCTGAACTGATCAACTGACAACTTCAAAGGAGCTTTTTCCCAGACTGCTGTGTAAATCCTGGGCATAAACCGGCCAATATGGTTTCATATAATTCAGGAGTTTTCTGGTCAATTGTAATCTGTTGTGGTACATTAGAAACTACACAGAATAGGTGTGTGTAAAAAAATTTACAGAGAGGCAGTGAAAAAAGGAATGAACATACAACAAATGCAGTTTTTATTTAGTTACTTTCACACTCTCTAATCCAAAGCACAGACTAAGATGGGATAATATACACAGAAAACTGATTATTCAGGGAGCTATAGGCGCAAAAGGCAGCACCTGATGGAAGGTAGCTGGTACAGTGGGCTAATATACTGTGGCTTTCCATTTCTGAAAGCTAAGGAACTAAAATGGTTTAAGTCACAAGTGGAACTAGTATGGTGGTCTCAACCGAGTCACCAGACATCTCTCAAGCGATTGCAGCAGCTGGCCCTGCTATTCGACCGAAGTGCTAGAGCAGCAAGGCAATCCCAGGACTGGAGCAGCAGCAAGCACTTCCTGAAATTCCAGTTTGCACAAGGAGCAGATCATCAAGACAGTTCACCAGGTTGGCAGAGTGAAAATGTACACCTACATCATATCATCACTCAGTCTCACACTCTTTAATGGAGCTGAAGATAATCCTAGCAGTCACTGCAAGCGCTAGCTGTGTGCGCGACTACCCATGCACACCACTTCTTCTGCCTTAGGACATCCTATTAGCCCATGTGGGAGTGAGGAAGGCGGGGACTGCAGACGATCTGTAGATAACCCTCCCCCTGCCAAGTCTGAGGCTGTCTTATTTAGTGGTTTTTTTGGGGCTCTGGCTTAATGCAACTCTCCTACTGCAGCCTGCTCTAGGGTAGAAGTGCAGAAACTCACAGGAAATGCTCACGGGAAAGCTGCCTTCCACCACGATGATGCATAAATAGTTTCTACATTGTGCTTGGCCTTAGCCTGCACTACAGAACTATTTGTTGAGCACTGAAATGCAACAAAATCATCCCAGATATAAACAGGAACTCTGTGGGAAGATCTAGCTTTCTCCGCCACCCAACACCTGCTGTTGTTTGTCGGAGATAAGCTCCTGAAGGTTGCATTTACAGTACAAGCGGAGACAGCTCTTAAAAAGTAGAAAAAAATAAAATAAAATAAAAAAGGTGGGCCATGTTCCTTCTGAACAGTGTATCCAGGCACCAGGCTCAAAAATACCTGACTGTCTTCTTCGGGCTTGTCTACACTACTGCTTAAGTCGATGTAACTTACATTGCTCTGGGGTGTGAAAAAGCCACCCCTCTGAGGAACACACAGTGCATGGACTTCAGCGCTGTCTGCACCAGTGCTAAGTCAGCGGGAGACGCTTTCCCACCGACATAGCTTCTGCCTCTCGTTGAGGTGGAGTAATTATGCTGATGGGAGAGCGCTCTTCCATCCGCATAGTGCATCTTCACCAGACACGCTACAGCAGCACAGTTGCATTGGCGCAGCCCATGGAGCGCGGTAGTGTAGACTAGCCCTTAGCATGTCACCTGCATATGCTCAAGCAAGCAAGCAAGCTCAAACTCTCCCTCACAATGGAACCCTGCAGTCCCATTTCCTGGGGCAACCAGCTGACTGGGAACAGATTTAATTGTTTGCAAACTGAACACTACCCTTTGAAACAAGATTTATCCATTCCTGTCGCATCTTCACATCCCTTTGCAAATGGCTGTTACCAGGCACCCATTCATAAATAGCCACTGCTAAGTATCTTTAACCTTAGGTCAACATTCCAGTAAAGACAGCCCTACCTCTGCTGATTCTGTTCCTTTCCTATGACCAGCAATGACCTGATCACACCCCTCCCTTGGAGTATGAAATTAACACTATTTACTTCTGTGCTGCTGAGCCAACCTCAATGCCATTAGCCCAGCAGTGGGGACGTGGGGTTAAAATGCTGCTGTAAAGGCAGCATACTGCTTTTGTTTTCATACGCAGGAGAGCAACAGAAGTCAAGAAGCAAAATTCCCCACCAGATTATTGCATCCATTTTAAAGGAGGTCGTGTTTCTGGGTCTAATGTTCAAGTGTCTTTTAAGTAACCAAGTAAAAAGAAATGCAGAATATATATATTTATAAAAACAAACTTAGAAGAGAGTCTCCTTTTATATGGCTGTCAGAGGCACTGGTGTGCAGTGTCCTTTCAGGGGGTGACCACAGAGCAATGAAAGCCCCATCCAAGAGGCTTCCTTCTCCATCTGCTGTTTGAGGAGCTAGATTCTCCCCTTCACCTCCCAGCTTTCCAGGTTACAGGAAAAAGAGTCTCTCACAGAGCTGAATAGCTGGCTCATGGTGCAGAAACTGTCCTGCGAGAAAGGCCAGCTTGTGAGCGTATTTGCAGGGGGCTGGAACTCGGATAGTACCTGGCCAGTTCCAGTACATGTGGCAAAGCTTGAAAGTCAACCTAGAAACAACAGGAGGAAAGAAGATTCCATTAGAATTCGTACCTCCCTACTTGGGACACTGTATGTCTAACCCACAGTGAACACCAAGTGTTTGTGGAGGGCTGTCCTTTCAAGGCCACCAGATAGATGCTCTTTAAGGGCCAAAACTTTCTCTCACTGAATTGCCACCCTGGGGCAAACCGTTAACCTAGCTCTGACAGCAGCCCATGCAACACGAGGAATCTCCAAAGGGTATTATATCAGCTTTATTAACAGTATATGTATATTTAGGAGCTAGGGATTGTCTTCTGGCTCCATGGGGAGTTACAAGGAGCTTCCTGCAGGAATTAAAATAACCGGGAGGTGATACATCTATGCAAATCTCTAGGCAGGTATACAAGTCAGGAGAAGTGCTCCCGCCGTGTGGGAAGTTGCATATACCAGTTTGAGCTGGTTAAAAGGAGGCTACCAAACAAAGAACTCAGCTGTATAAAGTGACCACCCTCACGTAAGCGAGAGGTTACTCTAACTTGATCCGAGAACTGACATAGCTATAACCCAGGGACCCCCGATACCAACCGATAGAGAGCACATGGGATGCATAGGGTTATACAGGGATCCCCTGGGTCAGACATCTGCATACTAGTTCACCAAGCGGGGCGTGTGAGGCCTTTGCTGAAAGCCATGAAAAATGTACATACAGATAATATTTAAGGAGTTATGTAACTATACTGAAAATTATGCTCTTAGAGTTCAGGCATGTCACCAGGAGGTGACAGATTGGAAATGTTCCTTTCAGGAAGGACGTAAATGACACCTATCTCCCTGCCTGGCCATTTGTGTACTGTATGCCTTACGCTGTGTGCCTATGTGCATACTTAGGCAGGAGTGAATTGGGAGATTCTGAAATCTACAGGAACAAACAGCAGGAGTGTGCATGTCCTGTTCATGAATTATGACAAATGATTGGTCTGGTATATCCTGGAGTGCAAAAGAGACACTTAATCCTTCACTTCAGAGGCACGCTAACCGTGCATGACTCACAACAAAAAGGTCATGGCCTGCCTACAGGGATTTTGGGTGAGCAATACTCTTACATCTAATAAAATATCGTGTTAATTACGTCTAGGCTCTAGAATGCATGCTATGACTTTATTTTTTATGTAACCATTTGTTTCCAATACTTCTAGTTGCTACTACTTGACCCTGTGCGTTGTTAAATAGACTTATACTTGATTTCACTATAAACATATCTAAGTGCTACTATGATGATCTGAGGAATGGAAAACTTGTCTTATGAAAGGAGACTCAAGGAGCTTGGCTTGTTTAGCCTAACTAAAAGAAGGCTGAGGGGAGATATGATTGCTCTCTATAAATAGATCAGAGGGATAAATACCGGAGAGGGAGAGAAATTATTTAAGCTCAGTACCAATGTGGACACAAGAACAAATGGATATAAACTGGCCACCAGGAAGTTTAGACTTGAAATTAGACGAAGGTTTCTAACCATCAGAGGAGTGAAGTTTTGGAATAGCCTTCCACGGGAAGCAGTGGGGGCAAAAGATCTATCTGGCTTTAAGATTAAACTCGATAAGTTTATGGAGGAGATGGTATGATGGGATAACATGGTTTTGGTAATTCAATATTCATGGTAAATAGGCCCAATGGCCTGTGATGGGATATTAGATGGGGTGGGATCTGAGTTACCCAGGAAAGAATTTTTTGTAGTATCTGGCTGGTGAATCTTGCCCATATGCTCAGGGTTTAGCTGATTGCCATATTTGGGGTCGGGAAGGAATTTTCCTCCAGGGCAGATTGGAAGGCCCTGGAGGTTTTTCGCCTTCCTCTGTAGCATGGGGCACGGGTCACTTGCTGGAGGATTCTCTGCTCCTTGAAGTCTTTAAACCACAATTTGAGGACTTCAATAGCTCAGACATAGGCGAGAGGTTTTTTGCAGAAGTGGTGGGTGAAATTCTGTGGCCTGCGTTGTGCAGGAGGTCAGACTAGATGATCATAATGGTCCCTTCTGACGTAAATATCTATGAATCTATGTTAAGTAGAGTGGTGAGCAGAGGTGAAAGTGGGGCACACTGTTACTTTGGGAGCAGTGGATTGGTGAATACCGTGAGTGTCCATGGAGCAGAGATTGGACACTCAATGGAGAAGCTCGGAGGGCTTGATGGTTGAAATGGGCCCAGAGATAGCCCGCAGAGGGACAGTGGAGCCTGCTTAGGCTGACAGGGGAGGGCTTGTTTTGCCTGTGGAGCCGACCCCCCACCAGGCACAGACAAGGCTTCCTCATGCTAAGGGCAGGTGGTAGCAAGGTGCCTCACGATCCTGGGTACCCCAGAAAGCGTCACAACAACATTGTGACCAACACAGACAGACACTCAGGACTCTGTTCTTAACAGGGTCTCCATGTAGAAGACGGGTGACTGGCTGGTAAGCCGAGACCTACACGTTAAGATATGTTTTCTCTGTAATGCTTCTGTTCTGAACAAATACTGCTTTGCTTTCTGAAGGCTGGATGGTCACTGGTTAACCCTGCCATTACCCAAGAAAAAGAAGAACGGCAGGTACTGAACTTAAGTCAGACTTGACAACAGTATCACAGTGAACTGCAACTTAAATCCTCAGTCTAGAGGAGGGGACTGAAAGGACCGTGCCCCAAGAGAGGTGATGGCTATAAGCCTGAGACCCTTGAAGAGGCCATGAAGGGGATCAGAGCTGCAGTTACCTCAGCAAGTGTGACAGCCAGCACCAGCTACTTCAGAGGAAGGTACAAAAATCCTTAGTGCACAATTATGGAATAATCTAAGCACAGGGGAAGTATGTTTCTGATCCTCTTTTAAAAAGACAGCAATGACCTACTTAATGCAAACTGTGTATATGCTCATTATCCGTAGATTTCTAACCGTTTTTTGAATCCTGCTCAATTATATATTGTCATTGGCAGTCAGTTCCACAGGCTAATTGCTAATTATACATTGTATAAAGTAGAGTTTCTTTTTATCTGATTTACATTTATCACTTTTTTCAAATTTCATTGATTCTCTCCCTGTTCTTGTATAATGACGAAGGGTAAACAGGAACGTCCAATCTGCCTTCTCTGTATCATTCATTTTTGAGTCTTTAGCATTTGAGCCAATGAATTAAGGCATGACAGGAAGTCATTTCACCTCATTCTTTGTAAAGGTACATGTTGATCTCTAGCTAATTTCCAAATGGAGATTGTTTTGCAACAACAGGCCTTGGGGAAAGTTCCAGCTTTGCAGCTGTGTATTGAAAAAGTATTTCTCAATACTAAGTCCTGTTGGAGAACAAGAGATTACAAGAAATGGCCAAACCAATCAGAGTTTGACATCATCATTGCTGGACTTTTGGCCATAATTTCCCACCACACCCCTTCAATAAATTCAGAAATATCTCGAGCTAGTATTTCCTGGAAAAAGAAAAATGGGAAATAATATGCGAAAATGCCCAACTCGCAAGCGATCCTGCCTCACCTAGTAGAACAAATTTTGCAAATAAACTCAGAAGCTATTTCCAAAATGAAGATGTGCCATGCTGGATCAGACCACTGCACCAGTAAGTCCAATATGCTGACTCTCGCAGCAGTAGATAGCCAGCATTTCGGGGGGCTGGGGGAGGTGTGGAGCAGCTGCTAAATGCACCTCTGCAATCACATCAGAAGGCACAAGGGAGCAACTTCCACTTCTCTTTAGGGCAGTATTTGGACGACGTCACAAAACGTTCAAGACCCGAGTTACATGTCATCAGTGCCACCTCCAGCTACTCAGCCATGCAGCTTTGTAGGGAGTGGGTGTTTGAGGAAGACCGCTCTGCTCAGTGCTCTCACCTTTGCATGTGGTCAGGACTGAGGTTGGCCGTGTTAAGCACACAGATATAGCGCGTTGGGATGCCGCAACCCTGCCGGACGTGATGAGACAACAAGTAAAAATCCACCCTGAGAAGGATAAAGAGAAACACTTTAAAGAGTCAAGTTGACCACCTGTAAACAAGAGAAAAGCCTGTGGCAGTTCCTTAGGTAGGTCTGCTAAAGGGGCTTTACACCTGAAGTTGAGTTTGCTTTATCAAGGTTTCATTCTAAGTTGAAATCACAGCATGACCTCACTGTCTACTCCCTCAGCGTACCCTCCCCATGGGTACACTAGCATCTACACACCAATTATACAGCAACAATGCCTAAGAGCTACATATGTAAGAGGGCCTTTCATTCCCAAACCACTTCAGTCTATATTCATGCCACACATTCTGTGATGGAGAGCAACCAGTACCGTGGGGAAGTGGATGGGAAATTTTGAGTAAGGACAGAGCAAAACCCCTTCTTATAAAATGCTAGGGGTATGTTTTATGCAGTGTTGGTCTCAGGATATGAGAGAGACAAGGTGGGTGGGGTAATCTCTCATCGGAGAAACTTCTGCTGGTGAGAGAAACAAATTTGAGCTTACAAAGAGCTATTATTCAGGGGTATGTTTAACATACATAGAGAACAGACGGGACCCTCTTTGCAAGGTCTAATGAGAAAGCGCTCCAGAGTAAATGGCATTGTTACATAAGGTATCCTACTGAGGCAGGTAAACGAAGGACTGAATTGAGCTTCTCGGGGTCTGGAAAGTCTAGGTACCAAATTCGTTAGACCATCCCCTCTGGCTGTGATTGGCAGGCCAGGGCTGAGCCATATTCAACCCTTTGCTCTGGAACTGAAATATGCACTAGGTTTCCACAAGCTAGTAATGCAATGCAACTTGACTCTCCGCTTTTATTGGCGGTTACAGAACGGTGATGGGGGGGAATATATGGATGCTGGCAGAGAACAGACTTTTGTGGGTTGCCTGCCACTCACCAATCTCTGCTGGTGACAGTATGGTCAATTACAGTCCCTGGAGCAGGGGTTACAAAGTGCTCAGTGGAAGCAGAGTAGAGATTGGTGCTGATTTTCTTCTGAACCACAAAGAACACCATCTTGGGCTGGTAGTTCTCAAAGGCTTCAAAGCACTGCTGGAGCTGTGGGATCTCGTAGCTGACCACTGTGTTCAGCTGGCTGTCTGACACCCCATCTCTATAAACTGCTATCTTCTCAGGGAGACAGTGGTTCACCTGAATAAGAAACAAGACAAAGAATGGAAGCTCCTTCACCGGAGGTTTTCCAAAGGAGACTGGATAGCCATTATCTTGGATAGTTTAGAAACAACAAATTCTGCACCTTGGCGGGGGTTAGACTAGATGACCCTAGTGGTCCCTTCTAACCCTATGATTCTAAGAATGGTCTAGGGTAACATGGGTGAATTTGATGTCTTATTGAACCTTCACGCTGTGAAGGAGGCCAAATTATATTTGGAGAGTATGGTCTGAGAGTCCACAAATATAAGGTTTCAGAGTAACAGCTGTGTTAGTCTGTATTCGCAAAAAGAAAAGGAGTACTTGTGGCACCTTAGAGACTAACCAATTTATTTGAGCATAAGCTTTCGTCAGCTACAGCGAAAGCTTATGCTCAGATAAATTGGTTAGTCTCTAAGGTGCCACAAGTATTCCTTTTCTTTTCACAAATATAAGGTCAAGTACCATTCTTGATCCGTAATGGAGTACCCACTGACATCAAAGGGCAGTTTGCAAAGTTGAGCGTAGGACATGGACCTTTTAGTTAAAGTCACTGCTGTATGCAGCATCACTTGGTGGGAAAGAAGTCAGTAACTTGGAACCTAAATTGCTTGAAAAAATCTGACTCAATGTGTTATTATGAGCATTAAGAGTTAACACCTAATTTTGAAGAAGTATTTCTCAGGCTGAGACAGTGCTGCATCAGTTTCTATCTGGAAGGTTAGAACCCCAGCCATATGGGCTAGAAACGCATTCTTTCCTTGAAGTGAAAGCTTGCATTCTGTGAAACAGAATGGGCCACAAAGACTACACAAATACACTGACACTTCTGGCTTTGACGATTGATCTTTTTCCTTTGGGTTTAAATGCAGACAGTCTGCTTTTGGATACAAATGATGCCAACTTAACTGCTGCCCTGGAAGATGCTGGTTCATCGACTCCCATGTGAAATGAGTTTTTTGGGTCTCATTCCAGTCCCAAGTTGACAAGTATCCACACTCGAAAAGCCACCACCACAATCAACACCTTTCTGGACAGCCTCATCAAAAAGGCTAAAGACTGAACGGGCCATGGAAATTGAATCCCTCTTCTCCCACTAGAAAGGGGTTCGTTCCAAAGCACCATTAAGGCATATTCACAGGACAGTACTGGGAAAAGCTTGCCCGACCACTGCCCATGAAGGACCTGTCCGGTGACTGGACTTCAGTTTCCAGAGCTGTTAATCCGGCACCTTCCACAAGAAAAACTCAAGAGATAAAAATCTACCATATCTAATTTACATTTTTATAAATAGGACTGATTGCCTTTTAAATTAGTGCTTTTGCAACCCAAAACCCTAAAGCAGACCTAACCGTGCGTATGGGAGCATGGCTTTACTTGCGGACACCCACTGTAGATTAAAGCATACACACGACCTGCTGAAGTGGTGAAATAATCAAGCAGCTACATCATGGTCCTTACACTTTCATACAGAACGTACCATTCCCTTTTTTGCACCGAGGGGATTTATGGTGAGATAAAAGGGCTGAGGTTATTCAGAGACAGGAGAATCTAACCGCTTAAGACAGGTAGCGGTATTGAAAGCGAGAAGAGTCATTGAGCAATCGCCACAGTGGTGCACTAGGCCACATCGAGGTAATTAAGCAAGTTCCTGAGATAAGGAAGGAAGATTATGCATGCTGTGCCAAACAAGGGGCCATTTCACTTTTTAAATTCAAAGTGAGGTCTGCAAAGTCTTTTACTCACTTGCTTAACTTTTATTTGTTCTACTTTTCATTTAGAAAGCCCAATTTAATGTCTTCCACTGATACTATAGTAGTTTTTCAGTCAAAATGAACTCCAGGTTGTGTTGGGAATGTTAACCCTCATGAACACACGGAGCGACAAACCTAATTTTTCATGCACTGAAGCACAGTGAATAGGTGGATGCCACTTACTGGGTAAGATCCCGTTTTTGGTGCTCTCTTTGGACAGCAATCCAGTACATAGGAATTACCAGACTGAGTCAGACCTAAACCCATCTAATCCAGTATTCTGTCTCTGACAGTGGCCAGCACCAGATGTTTCAGAAAAAGGTGCAAGGTGCACGTTCAGATATGGGACAATCTGCCCCTTACACTGGTCTCTAATAGTTAGAGATCGGCTTAAGCCCTGAAGCACGAGGTTTCATATTCCTTTCAAATCTGTGTGTCATTAAATATAACAACTCTGGATATTCTTGATATCCATAGAACTATCCCATCTTTTAAAATCAATAAAATGGCACCCACAACTCTTCACCCTAGGGTACTGAATAGAGATGGTGCCTGCACTCCTGAGTACACAAAAGGAGATGTATGTTTCAAGCTAGGCACACTTTTCTCTTTGCAGTTTTATCCATTTCTTGTAGTGGTCAGCAAAGAGTCACCCACTACATTTCCTCACCTCATAAAACTTCTGTAAGGCACCGACCAGGCAAAGCTTCAAACTGTCTGCAATTTCCTGATGAGGCATCTGGAACACAACCCTAGAATACCACTTTGTGACAGCACTCATGGCAGAAGGAGAGAGGTAAATATTACCTACAGAACTCTTGTGAGCCAAAGCCCAAAACAGTTATACAAATCAAAACAAATTCAGCTCCGGCTTTGCATACATCTTTTCTCAGACTGTTTCTAAAAGGATTCAGGCATATGGCAATAGGGGCACCAGATGATCAGAGATAATGCCAGCTGGTCCTTGGCATTGGGAATTGGTGACTGCAAACAAACAAGTTGTTAAACCCCATTGAAAAGGACAACCAAGGTTAAATCAATATCTCTCCTCTTTTTTAGTAAGGGCAAGGCAGTGCCATAAAGTGACTTTATTGATAAAGAAAAGAGTTTCGCTTCCAGGCAAGTGTTGCAACTTTTCCACCACAAATGCAACTCCCTAGCAGTGCAAGTATAGGAAAACACTCAAGATCTGAAGGCTTTTCATCTGTGTCTGACAATGTGCAGTTTAATCACAGACACCACTTTTTCCTCCAGCAAGAGACTGTCAAAAGCATGGAAGAGTAAGACAAGCTTCCCAGAGAGTCTCCCAGTTTGCTATTGGCCAGGTCTTATTGTGTGCTTAGTTGACCAACACTTCAGAAAGCAGAGGGGAATACACCAGTTGAAAATTGATCAAAACAGCAACTACCCTACTTGAGAACTATGCAGGATCTTCACTGTGACAGAGTAATCTGGAACGCTCCATTAAAGAACAGATCCATCTGTCTCCCTCTACAGTCCATGGCATGTGTCAGATTCTCTACTAACACTGGCTGCAGTGTGAGGCGCGCACATCAGCCAAACACTGAGCTGCTTAGAGGTCCAAGTTTTACAGGCATGTAAAGGGGTAGAACCTACTCTAATTTAGAAACAACTTACTGATTGGTGCTTGCAACGAAGCCAACCACAGAGCGCATTCCCCTGCTGGGATCGTGGTACACATCCATGCCAATCACCATCAGCTGTTTCTGGAAAGGAGAAAGGAAGCCCAGTGCAGTGGGGAACAGAGTCACAGGCAGAACTCACCATTTCACTGGAAACTATATCTGAACTCTTTCTAAAGAGCAAAAAAGCAGAGCTGAATTAAATGCCAGGAGGGAGTTCCACCCTCGGGCTCAAGTCCTGCAGTGGTCATAAAATCCCTGGAATTAATCAAAAGTACTAGTTACTACCAGAGAGCTAACCAGACGTTCATTTTATCTATCCTTCATCGGTACTGTGGTGTACAACACCCTCCCTGCCATGATGTAGGGAAGTGCTATTATCCCCATTTTACAGACGGATAATGGAGGCACAGAGAGAATAAGTGCCTATGCAAGAGGTCTGTGGCAGAGCTGGGAATTAAACCCAAGCCTCCTGAGCCCCAGGCTAGCATGGCTGATGGCCTGTAAGAGACAGGTTAAGTACATTCCCCTGTGAAAGAGGGAAGAAGGGGGATACATTTCAGAGAGGCCGAATACCCCTTTTACACTATGAACTATTCTTCCTCTATCCGATCTAGGATGAATTAATATTTGTGCATGCACGCGTGTGGGGGAAAGGAATAAAAGGCCACAGAGAAGTCACAGATGAGAGCCCTGCACCTACAGGTAGGTCATTCAGTGTGCTGACGCCTCCCTCGATGGAAATAACTTTTGCATGGCTTACCAATGGGATGTTCACTCCCCAGAGTTCCCCGCCTAGCTTGCAATTAATCTGCAGCAGAATTTTCTGTGCTATGCTCCTTAGTTTGTTTGGCTGGGTCATGATGGTTCGAGCATTGATGACCTGCAGCAATGGGAAATATTAAAAATCAGTTAACTCCAGCGAAGTTTTTAAGACTGCAAAAGCAGGATCTACTTTTTTCCGCCCCAGACTGTATTCCTACTATAAAAGTCTATCATAAATTTAACAGATTATACTTGCATATTGCAAGGCATCCAACTATACAACTTTAATGGCTGTTAAGTTTTTCCATTAGTATTCTATTTCTTTGCTTTTTCTCAAATCTTTTAACAAAGTAGTAAAAGAAAGACTTTGCATTTGTTAAAGCCCGTGTAACCAAGTTCTGGTCCCTGGATCTGCAAGTGTAATTCTCATTAAGTCAAGAGTTTTGAATGTTCATCTGAGGGCAGAATTTAGCCTTCACTTAACAAAAGTCTCATACGCAGTGAACACAAAAACTGATACCCATCCAGCCCTTTACCCCCACTTCATCCAAAGCTGGGAAGTATTTTTAAGGATGCTTACACCCTCGACGAGCATTTATGTCCCTCTCCACCCATCGGAAAAGAAAAGAGGTTTCCCCAAACGGAATCATGTTTGCATTACATCCTTCAGCAAACTAAACTGTCTTTCGAGCAACTTTCACTTTTTTTTTTTTTTTTTTTTTTTATTAAACACACACTGTATGTGCTGGCTGTTGTATCTGCACTATCTTCCTCTTCTGAATGGAATCCAAGCTCCTCAACGGTTGCCATAGGTCTTACATTCACAACAGCTAGAGAAACTCCTTTTGCTCAATTGGCAGGGGTCTGAGGTTTTGGAACAGGGGGATTGGAGTTCTATCCTTGCTGTTCCGCTGGCAGAGATGTGAAACACTATGAAGCCCCAGCGAGCCACAGATACTTACAGAGATAACCATGCAACAGTTCTTTAAGACTAGACACTATAGTCACAAGCAAGGCAAGAGTCCACAACACACTGAATGTGACTAATTACAAGATTAAATACAATCTATTGTTATTCTACTACAGACAACATGATGACCAAGATGAAGTTCCAGCCACACGAGGCCTTTTTCTAAGCATGCCAACTTTGCTATACTGGACTTAATTTAGAGGTAAACAGTAAATTATATGGCTGTTTACTGTACACTTAAGGGTTAGGTTAAATGGTCATGATTTTGTGTTACTGTAGGGTTTTGTTTATATAGCCAGATGAGCCTGCCTGCTCCACTGCTTCTAGGGGTGCACTGGCTCCAGAGAGAAACGTGCCAGGAAGCTTCAAATGCAGATGAGGGTGAAATGGACAGGATTTTGTGGTCTGCCAGGCAAGAGCCGTGTGCATGGAATCCCTGTCTCCCCCACGTCTACCCCCACCCCGAGAAGTTATAATACCACAGTGACCTGACTCACCTGAGAGGTTACTGGAGACTGCACACAGCACAGCTTTTTAATGGCTCCGTACAAGTCATCTCTGGTCCCGGCGATGATACATACGACCACCTGCATCTTACCCTTCAAGAGACAAATGCAGAGTCAGGCTTTCGCACCACAAATGTTGCTGGATGCTCACAGACTTTGCTCTGCCTTTGCAATGGAATGAATGCAGCGCCCCCCCCTTGCAGCACTGTGCTGAAGGGAAGGAACACGCAACCCTGGGACATTGGTGCCCACTGTCTAATAAAGCAGCAGCCAAGAGCAGTATCGCAGCTATTTGTCAGAGAGCGAGCCAAATCCTCGCCAAGAGCCTGTTACTGGAGTTACGCCAATACTCTTAAGAACAGATTTGGTATGATTAGCACCTTCACAGTAACAACTGTGCACCTCATTAGTTGTCAGGTCTCCCCAGCTCCCTCCACCCCCTTGTTTATACATAAGGCTTGGAGATGGACTGGATTTGGGAGCACAGGCCTTCAGTAACACCACCATGAACTGTGCAACCCCAGTGTTCCTTTCTAGTATCAAAGCCCTTCACTTATGGGCTCACATCCAACCTCCATCACATGAACTACAGCAATTAAAGCAAACCTCGTGCCTCGTTTAACTGAGATAACAAGCACCAAGGCATTCATAGCTGCATGTTGTGAAAGATCCCATGGCACAGAAGTCATTACTGCGGAGGGTTGGGAAACAATTGTTCCACAAATAACTAACATAAACAGGCCAAGGCCTTATCACCATAACAGTGCAAAGGAACATTACAAGTACATCTGTATTAGATCCCAGGAACAGAATGTGGGCAGGTAGCAAAGTCTCTCTCAAGACCTTTGCTGATCAGTCGTTTATCTTCAAGCATCGCAATCAACATGCAGCTCTTTATAGTTAATATATTAATTCAAGATAAGCTTTTGATAGCCTGCAGTTGAAGAGTAGAGCAACACCATATGCAAGTCCCATAGAAACAGTCCACAAAGGGTAGACTGTGTCTAATGTGGATAAGTAGGTCTCTTCCCCATGCACAGGGCCTTCAAAGCACTGCAGAGCTTTCCAGCTCCCATGATTTGTATTTAGGGCATACCAGAGTCCGATACTCTTGTGATGCTGTAGGATTGAAATATGACCATTTACATCCTTGATATTGCCACTGTTATTCGATTGCAACAAATCTTGTGCAAAGTATGTCATGTAAGGTGTCAATGGAAAAGTTATGATTGGCTAAATAACATTATCCTGCTTAAATCCACGTATCATCATTGTATCTCAAATGTGGGGGTTACCCCAGGAATAAACACAAGGTACTTTACATCCAGTCTAGCCAGCCCATTGTGAATGGGCTATTCAAGCTTGATGGCCCATTAAGGGCATTTCATGCTAACAATGGGCCATAGAAGAAACTCATTTTGCCCAGACAACTCTTTCTGTGGATGGAGGGTGTTCGAGATTGAGCAGGAGGACCCAGAGGCGGATTGAGTAAACGGGCTTCTTTACTGTGGTACTTGTTCTTTTGGATCCAATTGTCGAGTAAGTGCTAAATTCGTTACAACACACTCTTTCTATCTATGTTAGTATCTAAATACCTACATGTACTACAACACCCCCGAAATCCTTACTGAGTAATAGGAAGGCCCAGACAATGAATATTAAAAGCTATACGCTGAATATAATTATCCCGACCCCGATTACTGTTTACAGCATTAAGCATATTCTACAGACAATTTTACCTTGAAGATACACTTCTTTGCAATAATTGCAGCCACAAATTCCCTAGATCAGCAGTTCACAGGGAAGGGAAGAAGGGGCCATGACCCCGAGCTCATTTACGTAGCTGGCAAAGGAAGGGAGGGGGGAGATAACACCTCTTTGCACAAAGGGGACCCTTGGAGCAACCACATTCCTTATGCAGCTGCAACGCTTATCAATCCTTACCAAATAGAAGGGAAGGGAGAGGGGTAGCGCTTTATCTATCAAGCGCAAAAAACAGTGCCTGCCCGTGACTCTACTCCCGAATACCATGTCAGCACACCAGCGGTTTCCCAGGTCTCTACTTAACCCTTACATATCCCAATAGAAGAATGCTTCAGGCTCCAAGGAGCCAATGGCTGCCTCAGTGCGTCAAAGCGTGAAAGGACATGTGATATGCTCATGTGACCCTAGACTCCATCTTAAGGCAGTGACTTTGCACAAACAGAGGTTGCGAGCTGTGTCTGAACCAGTCAATTTCCAGGCACATGGCAAAGGGTATAAAAGACCCCCTGAGATGACTCCATTTTGTCTCTTTCCTGCCCTGATTCTCTGGACTGTGGATTTACAACTAAAAAGGAGCATTCTGAACTATGGGCCGAGGACCTTCCAATCTTTTGGAAGCTACTGGAGAGATTTTACAAGCCAGCCATCTGTACCATCACTGCTACAAACCCAATATATGGACTTCGCAATTATTGTATGTATATGATCTATTAACCATTAACAACTCCTCTTCTTTTTTTCTTTTATTAATAAACCTTTAGATTTTAGTTACTAAAGGACTGGCAGCAGCATGATTATTGGGTAAGATCTGAGTTACATATTTATCTGGCTATATGGCTGATCTCTTGGGATTAGAAGGACACCATATGTGATGAAACTGGTTTTCAATAACCACACAGAGTCCATGGGTCTCTGGTGAAATAAGGGCTGGAATGCCTAAGGAGACTGCATTTTTGACTCCTGGTTAACCAGCGTGGTGAGACAGAAGTTTACTTTTGTTACTGGCTTGGTGTAATCTAATGATAGAATAACCACCAGTTTGGGGTGAGTCCACCCTATTTTTCAGCAGTCTGTTCTGAAACTGGCATTCTAAGCTTTGACCCACTGAGGCACAACGACAACCCTCCAGGGCAGAAATGAGACACACGGCAAAGTGCAGCTTCTTCCCACCTCAAGGCAGGACCAGGCATACTGTAGCCATAATCGCTCCGCGTGGCTTACATAGCACTTAGCAGATGTCAAGCCAGCAGTCAATGCTTTACCAGAGCCCTCCCTACAGACTCCAGTGGAAATGTGGTGCACGCACAAGAAACACAGGGAAACTACCCTATGTGCACATGACTGCCCATGGATGATGATACTTTAAAGGATCCTCCCAAATGGACAGACTCCAATACATTTCTCATATGTGCAATCCGAGTGCCCCAGTGTCCTAGAGGTACGAGAATGCCAACTGAACAGCTCTCTAAAAAGGATTACTCAAACCCCATTCACTCTGTCCCTTCCTCCCCATTACCTCAGTGCCCAAGATGGATTTGATAGTCCTGGCATAGGTCTCTATTCGATCATCTTTCAATTCCACCCAGGCAGGCTGGTTTAACTGCATGCCAATCGGGCCAGAGACCTTCTCCAGCATGCTGACCAACTCTCGTGCTTGGTCCACAGCCCGTTTTGGATAAAACAATGCCCAGTAATGCATGGGAATCTAGGAGCAGAACCAGACAGCCAACATCACCATCAAATAGCCTGTATAAGTGAAGGTGGTGGTGATTTCCCCAGAGGATCTTAAAACACTTTATCAAACCATTAATAAAGCCTCACTACCCACCCACCAAAATAGATATATTTCTGTTTTACAGATGAGGAAACCAAGGCACAGAGAAATTAAGTGGCGTGCCCAAAGTCAAAGAACTAATCAAAGGAAGAGCTGGGAAAAGGACACAGAAGACTCAACTATTAGACACTTCTTGCCTTCATATCCCACCAAATTTGAGGTAAGACAGCCAGAAAGCAGACAAAATGTGCATTTGCACTGCAGAGTCAGCTTCCAAAGGCCCTGCTCCTTGCTCTCCTGAAGCATAGACTCACTGTGTACTTCAATCTACACAAGTTTGGGAGGAGAAAATTTTAAAAAATTGCATTAAGTGATAAAGAGAGGATCCTGATTTCTAGTTCCAGATGGAGCACGTCCAAACAGCTTTCTCCTAACTAGACACTCCAATGAGCATGAGCATTCTGAGGAAAGACTTTTCCTACTAACACCTTGGAAAGACAACCAATCGCTGGTGTTAACAAATCTAGTGTTTTGGAAAAATCCAACTCCATGTCCAGTAGGGACTGAAACTAGGGTGACCAGACAGCAAGTGTGAAAAATTGGGACAGGGGGTGGGCGGGTTATAGGAGCCTGTATAAGAAAAAGCCCCAAATATCAGGACTGTCCCTATAAAATTGGGACATCTGGTCACCCTAACTGAAACAGTCTGGGCAGCACCAATGCTGCTTGTGGCCTTCCCAATTTAGAAATCAAAGGGACACTTTCAAAAAACCTGGCTTAACAGGCTACTCCACCGTATTCCTGGTATTGGGAAGCAACCTCTTTGTCTGCGAAGGAATTTACCGTAGAGATGGCGGCTTCTCTTGTTATCTCTTTGGTCCAGTTTAAGTCCTCAGAAGTCATAAAAGAGCTGGTCCTCAGGTTTATTCTTTCCATGGGGAGAACGCGCCCTTGCGTCTGAAGAGAAGAAAACAAGAGCCATGCGCAACCGTTGTTCACACACATAGTGCAGACATCAGGAAACGCTGCTGAAGGCCCCTCTGCCCTTCTAGTATGAGTACTTCATGTGATCTCACTTCATGTAGTGCAACATACCACTGCCAAATACATCAACATGGGAAGAAAAGGAGACTTTCTTCCTACTGGTCTTCCAATGAAGACTACGTAAATAGCGTCAATTGAACTGCGTATTGTGAGATGATGTCTAAGCTGTGTCTTAACACTGAAGAAGAATTTTTTTAGCTTGTTTTAAAATTTTTTTTTAAACAGTCAAGAGTATAGCCATGGGGAAGAAAAATCCAGACTATTAATATCAAAGCTTGATTAACAGAGTTAAGGTTGAAACTAATTGCATAGAAGTCAGGAAAGCCAGAGTTAAAGGTTTTTCGTTTTGTTTTTACACTCTGGCCCTTGTGTGTAAGCATTCTGAGGGGATCTCTCCTTCCACCATCACTTAAACGCACTGTGTGTTACTAAAGAAAGGGGACAGTAAGAGGTGCAGTTTGGTTTTCAGCTATATGCAAAGTTGATGGAGAACAGGATCCAGTAAAAGTCAATGAATTGACAAAGCACTTGAGTATCGCGTATGGAATAATCCAGCACTAGCAGGGAGTGACACCTACAAGGGTCTTTTCCATCTCTGTCTAGGAGTCAATGGGAGGACATAGAACGTGCTGGGTTTTTAATTCACTGACAAGAGAGTCATCACTTTAGATAAGCTATTACCAACAGGAGAGTGGGTTTATGTGTGTGTTGGGGGGAGAGGGGGGTGTGGGGAGAAAACCTGGATTTGTGCTGGAAATGGCCCACCTTGATTATCATACACATTGTAAGGAGAGTGATCACTTTACATAAGCTATTACCAGCAGGAGAGTGGGGTGGGGGCAGAGAAAACCTTTTGTAGTGATAAACACCCATTTTTTCATGGTTTGCGTGTATAAAAACGTCTTCTGTACTTTCCACAGTATGCATCCGATGAAGTGAGCTGTAGCTCACGAAAGCTTATGCTCAAATAAATTGGTTAGTCTCTAAGGTTCCACAAGTACTCCTTTTCCCTTTTGACATTCTATAGTTAGCTAATCGGCAGATTTCCAGTGGTTGCACCAGGAAGCCAGACAATTGTTTGTTTTGGGCATAGGAGATGGCAGTGTGGTGACCAAATGCCATATTGTCCTCTTGGCAGTGTGGTACACGTGTACAAGAGGATATGCCACATCCCCACCATTCAGAACCTGCTTCTGGTCTTGTTCTCTATGGAGTTCACACATGCTCTTACTAAGTCACTATTACAGATGGATAAGATCTGCAGGGTTTGCACTGAAGAGGAAGAAAGATATTACATAGTCTTACAGCATTAGGATGCAGGAACTAACCACTTCCCTTAAAGAATCCCAACGGGTGACAATACTCTGCATTTCAATAGTACCTCTCAGAGTGCTTATAAAAGCATGGTATCAAATACATTAAACCCCCTCACCCTTATGAAGTATTATCACCATTTTATAGATGGGAAAACTGAGACAGCAAGGTTAAGTGACTCATCCCAGGCCATAGCAAGCCAGTGGCAGAATCTATAATAGAATGGAAGAGCCCTGTTATCCAGTCCCTTGCTCCAAGCACTAGACAATACTCATGTACGATGGGAAATACCTTATACACGTCCTTGTCCAAACATAGTCCCCACCGTGACATTTCCTTGCTGGCAGCTTCATTCTCCTCAATCCTGTGCAGGAGATTACTCAGGGATGCGTGGTGCTGCTTGGGACTCAGATTAATCTGATGGGTTAGGTCCTAGAGAGGATGGGTGAGGGGACAAAAGAAGTCACCTTGGAGAATGTCCCTACCCTGAGGTGGAAGCGTCTCGATACCGGGCCTCGTGCAGGCAATCATTTTCAGGGTGAGGTCACACATTATTCCGCTGGCACAAGGGAACCCAGCTGCAGGTCCATAAGCCATCAAACACGCAGCAGCGCGCTGTAGAAGCACGGACAAGGCGGACAGGGGTATAACAAAGCGGTGTGCTTATGAATAAGTCACACGCTACGAGGATCAGAGTGTGGCAAAGTGCAAGTTCTGGTCCAGTTGTTCCCAGGTAACCCCTTACAGCAAAGGTGGAAGGACAGTGATACTGAATCCCATTTATCTGGAGCCACGTTACACTTCATCTGGGGGATTTGCTTAGATGTTTATAATAGCGTTACCAAGCACCTAGGTGCCTTACGTTTATAGGCAATTATTAGACATTGCAAGCTCCTCTGACTTCCATCCCACGTTCTCGCTCTTGTACAGCCCAACCCCCGCCCCCCAAGTCTTCTAGCGAACCCATACCCACTCCCCAGCTCCATAACAACTCCAATCTCCCACGTGGAAATAAACCCATAATCCTGCAAAGGCCTGACCAAACACTGAGCCCTAAGATCTCTAAATTTGGGCTACGGCAGAACACTAGAGGGAGACTAGGTTTGAGAAGACCAAGCCAATGGCTGTGCAGAGTTTAATCTTCAGAACTGGCCATGCAGACAACCTAGTGCACTGTATCTCCCATGACAGGAAAGAGAGCAGGGTGGATAGAAATCAATATGAATGTTATTACATTAGAGGTGCTTAGCGTAATTAGATCCAGTACAAACTGGCTTCTAGACCCACTTTGATAAACCACCAACTGGGTGCTAGTTTGCAAGTCTTGGGAGAGGGAGAAGAGGACATAAGCAATGAGAAATGTCTGCTTGTGGGGGCTGACGACCTGCCCTGCTGCAGCAAAGCTCCAACCTTCATGGCTCTGAAGTCCTTCTTCATCTTCTCAGGGATCCCGGTCATGTAGGAGAGCTCTGGCAGCAGCAGAATCTCACCCCTCTGAAGCTGAAGGGAAAGGGGAGCCAGTACACATTAACATACACATACTGCCTAGTTGGTTGCTCCCAGCCATATCGTGCACAAGAAAAATACTACCAGCCCTTGCTACTGCTGGGGTAAGCAAAAAAGGGGGAGCTGGTACTGCCGGAAAAAGAGAGAGAATGGAATCAAGTGTTTCCCAGGTTTAGTTCCCAGGAACCCTAAGGGACTATTTCTGCCACTGCGGATATCCCAGTTGCCTTCGATGGGGCTCAGAAGACTGCATGTGGAGCAGAGTTTGGACATACTCTGCCTGCCCTCATTGGTTCCTTCCCAACTAACAGCAGGTCAGTGAACACTCTGAGGCTTAGGACTTTGTAGAGCTGCAAAACAATTCACTTCCAACTATAATAAGGGCATACATCAAGCAGAACCAACCCTTGACACCAGAAGAGTTAAAAGAAGCCACAGAACAATTGCAGAAGGAGACCTGGATGGCTGAGAGGACTGGTAATGAGATATAATTTTCAGTACAGTGAGTGAAGCTGCCTTATCAAATAACTGTTTGTGTGGTTTGATGGGAGGACTTGGGTGGGGTAGTCTTTGCCTAAGGGGCCACCACATTCAGCACTAACTTGCCTCAGCAGAGAGGTCAAAGACTGAATAGGACACGGGATTGAACTCCTCTGACTCCTAGAAGTGGTCCCCTCTATGGCAGGATTGTGGCACATGGGCATGAAAGGGAGGCCACTGCCTGTGAGTAGACCCCTTCATAATCCAAGGCTGCCAGCCTATCACTGGGAATCTGGGGCTGAAATTCCACTACTAGGACTTTCCGGCTACAAAAACAACTCACCTTCCCTTGGGAAGTCTGCCTTTCATTGGGTCTGTGAATCAGCAGCGGCTGGTCCAGCTCCCTGACTGTTATACCATAATTTTTGCTGGAAAAGGAGTTGGGGAACAATTTTAAAGAAGCACTTTCTTGATACCAGAACAACAAGCTCAGCTCCCAGACTGCAGAAGAGGCTCTGTCATAACAGAGCTAGAGATGAAAACTGAAGGGTCAGACTACATCTTCATTAAAAGTTAAAGTAAGGCGACGCTCCAGAATGGCACACAAACTGGGGCTTGCTGTTCAATGTTGCCTACCAATCAGATTCTTTCTTCCCACAACACCTCCCTCCATTGTGGCAAATACAGAAGTGTCTACCTGTAATAGTCTATGAAGGTGATCTCCTTCCCATCAGACATGGTGAAACTGTCCTTCGGAGTCTTGTTCCAGTCAATGTCATCAACACGGTAAGTGTGATTATTATAGCGGGTAATGACGATATTGCCAATTAGCTGCTTGGTGCACTCATCCTGAAAGTTCTCTGCGCTCTGCTGGTAGATTGCATGCCTTTGTGGAGAAGGATGGGTAAAAGCTCTCAGATTTCAACCACCTCCTTATACAAGGAAGAACCACTACAATAATATTCTCTAGGCCATGGATGATTTGCCCTAACAAGACAGCGTGGGGGAAGCTTGCACTACCTGTGCTGTTTAACTGCTCTGTAATGAAACAGAAGATGCACAGTAACAGTGCTTAAACTCCCAACTCAATTGCACTTGTCTGAAACTAACCTTGTGAGAGGTTCAGAGGACAATGCTAGGTGATCATCTCACTCCCCCTTTCAGAGAACTACTCCCCAAGGCATACTTACTGAAACAGCAGTTCTTTGCATGCACCACCATTGTTTTCTGAGACCACTAGATGTTTAATTCTGATTTCTCTTCTCTTACTCACATTACATCCAGGACAGAATCATTCCGGATAACCTTGTGGGAGACATCTGCCAACAGGAAGAGACCTCCATCCGTCCTCCGGATACTGGCTGAGTAACCTGGCCATATCTGCAACCTTTGGAAAAACAGATTGCATGCAAATCAGCATGCTCATCCAAAAAAGTCATAGGGAACTTCGGCATATGAACTAAGAGCTGTTCTACCGATGTACAGTGAACACAAGGCAAGCATGGCACAGGGAATACATTTAACCTAGCCAGCAGCTAGAATTTCAGCTAAAATCTCTGAACTGCATACAAAAAAATAAGCAGGTTTTTTCAGGTAACAATGACTAGATAGGAACCTCAGCATTCAGAAAACATGTGACAAAGGCCTTGCTGTAAAGGTCTGAGTTTCTAGACCTGAGGTGCTCAAATACAATGGTGATAAGCCTACCAATACAATAATAACGCAAGTGTGGAGCCTGGTTAGGTTTGTTTGGAAGGACTGAACCTGGGACTTCAGGATCCAAAAGCATAAGCTCAGAGGCAGTAGCAGACCCAAACCTCTGTAAGTGGTTTAGCCACTAGTCAGGGACAGGACAGATACTGTTATCCTGGGTTACTCACACTGAATGAGGATGGAGATTAATGAAGGATTTTTCATGACATGACCGCTGTGGGACGTGCCTTTTGCTCACAAGAAGCCATGAAGGTGGGAAACAAGATGTGAGCCAACCACCACCCTATCCACTTTGTTTGTTGTCTTCCTTTTGCCTGGACAGATTGTAAACTTACGGGCACGGACTATATCTGCCTCTGAACCTGTACAACATCCAGAACACCATCACAATAGGCCCCCAGTCCAGACTGACGCCTCTGTGTACTACCGCAGTGCGAACAATAATCTGTGAATGGTTCAGGAGCTAGTAGCTGAGAGATCCCCTCATTTTGTCCAGTCCCGTATGTTCTCCTGGGACATTTCCAAAGTCAGTTCCTGGAGTTCCCCTCCCCCCAGGTCAGTTGGGAGAGTGTTCTCAATCAATAGTCCTCACCTACAGAACCCATTTCTGCCAGCAGCCCTTGACCTCTGCAAATCAGGCCTTTAGAATGTTTAACATTTGCACACATCCTGCAGCTTGTTAGACTAACTTACTGAAGGGACAGGCTCTTCTCACTCTTATTCACTTTAAGCATTGAAAGGTGCATGGGTACCATGGCAATAGGAGACAAATAACAGTACTAACCTATACTGCTGCAGCATTGTAGGACTGGTGGGATCGTAGAAATTTCTCCCAACAAGTTTCATATCTAAAATCCTCATCACCCTAGAATAGAAAACTAGGATAATTACAGGATTCTGGGGACGGGGATAGATAAATGTAGCCAATAAAACTGCACTGCATAGCTTTTACCCTTAGGAAGACACCACAGAACAGTCATTAAGGGTCTCATCCTGTGAGGTGCTTAGTATCCTCAACACACAATGGAGTCAATATGAATGGAGAAAACTCCATTTTGCAGGATTGGGCTCCTATGTGCATTAAAAAGAAAAAAGTAATGGACCGTCTGCCAAGGAAAAGGCATATGTATGCGCCCTTTTGCTTTGAGGCAAGACACCTGAAGCAGGTTTTGGCTTGGTTTTTAAATTTTTTCTCCTTGCCTATTCTTTTACCTTCATATATTAGGAATGTCACCTCCCCTGTTTTTGCTGAAGGACTAAAGAACTGGAGAGGGAGCCTTCTAAGACCTCAGTTGAGGGCATGGAGGAAAGGGGTGTTGCTGAATCTTTCAAAACAATTCTTTTCTCCCACAAGTTTGTCAGTGTTCGAGTTAAATTGGTGTAAACAACAACAAAAACATTTAAAACAGAGAATAAAAATCAAGTCTCTCTTGCTCTCCATTGCTCAGGTTCTGGTCTCTTGGTTCCTGGAGTATCATAATCCTATGAGTTCTCTAGTTAACCACAGAATTTTCCAGTAAGGACATTGCAGACAAGGCCTGAGTTTCCAATATAAAAAGTTTTCTGGGAAAAAAAACAAACAAAAAATCCTCCAGGCCTTTATCAGAAAGCAAGCAAATGTTTCTTCCCAATAATGCCCCAAAACACATTGCCCCTCCCTTTGCAGGTCCCCTTTTAGAATACCTTATGTGTGAAGAAACTAACCTTTTAAGTTATTGTATTCATTTGGTTAACCATTATCAGATTAATCTGTACATTTGTGTTTCTATCTCCACCTGAGATTACTCAAACTGAAATAATTTCAAAATCTAATCAACATTTCACCAACAAACTACTGTTCACTTTTGCATCTCTCTCAACCAGGGCAATGAAAACAGATTAGCTGGCTTCACTTTCAGATTCTCATGCACTAGCCCAATGGGGCAATGTCTGTGTTACAAACACACTGGAGGGGAAAGGTTTAAAATTTTAAATCCAAAACAACGGCTTAATTGACATTTTTTGTAAGCGTTCATGAGAGCATTTTAGTCATTAGGCTTTACAGCTTTCCTGCCCCCTGCCTCCAAAAAAAAAATTTCTTAAATTAACATAAATTACCAATGCCCATTTTACTCATTTTAAGGAGATTGGAAAACTCAAAGAAAATTGGAGAATACAAATAGAACCTCCTGAAAAACAAACAAACAAACCAACCGTGTGCAACTTCAACATGGAAGAAAAAAATAAAGTAATTGGACAAAAACAGATTCATTCAGTTTCTCTGAAGAACCAAAATATGGTTCCTGGTGCTTCTCTCCCATCACTCATCCCCTGTGTGCAAGGAAATAAAATGGTTGTCCCTGGGTTTAACAGTTAATTTCTCCAGCCCTCCATTGGTTTTGATCTTGCATCCAGTGAAGTCAGTGACATAACTTTCATTCATGACCATAGCGCAGGATTAGGATTAGAGAAATCTTGCCAAATAAAGAACTGAGTGTTCCTTAAAACAAAGCAAAGAAAGGAGAAGAGCAAAAGAAAAAAAAATTGCTCACAGGTTCAATCTGCCTAAATGAACTATAAACACCATGCCAAGGAAATGGGACTCTAGTGAGTGAAACAGCACAATACAAAAAAAATAGATGTTCTAATACAAGACAAACAAGACTCTCCTTGATTGTTTGAGACAGGACTGAAACTTCTGATGTCCCAGACTACACATACAAAGTATTGTTTGAATCCTTGCAAGAGATTCTGGCATTCATAATCAGAAGGCAAGGCAGATGGTTAGTCTGAGATCAGTGCTTAAATAGCTGATGAGGTCACTGAACGTGGTTCAGAATAAGCAGATAGATTTTAGATTAGGATGCAGGTGTCTGCAAAAATTACCCTGTAGTAATAGGGTGTTGGTATATGGGTAGTAGGTTCCTTCCTCAGTCCCTTATCTAGCTTTGGAAGATTCAAACTTCTTCTCCTTATGTTTTTTGAGGAACTCCCTCTCCCTTTATACTCCACACCACAATCCCCCCTCCACCCCCCTACCACCACCACCACCTCGCTTTTCTCAGGCATCAACCTTCAGACCAGGAATGAAGCACTGTACAGCCTGAGGCAAACATCATCCCTTCAGTCTGTCAGATGTGCAACCGTTTAGAAGCTTGAGCAAATCCCAAAAGCAAGAGACTGAATAAAGGCAACCCAAGTCTCCAGTAAAGCATAGCCATTACACGCCTGGGATGTCCTGTCAAATGGCTGGTAGCCTTGCATTTAAGTCAATGGTTAAGCATCATGCCAAGTCACCAGCCTCAACTTTTCCCTTACCTCCTGAAGACCACATTGTAAAACGGAATGCACAGGTCCGAGCTGGGCTCTAGGATTTTGGTCATCTGAAGCTTTATGGTGATGTCAGCTCCATCTGTCTTTCTCTGACATATCAGATCAACAGTCTAGTACAGAGATGAAGACATCTTAGCAGCAGCAAGAAGTGAAATTACTCAGACCATTAACTAGAAAACCCCTTTGGAGCCACCTTGTAGCTGAGATTTTGCTACAGCAGGTCCTTCCTGCTGTCCAAAAGGATTAATCTCTGCATCACCAGGGAGCATCCAGTGTCTTCCAAGCAAGAGTGGCTCCATGCAAGATAATCCTCACTAGGAGGGGAAACTTTTTTGGGGAGATGCAAGTATCTGGTCTCGGCACATCGCTCCACCTGAAGTGCTGTTGGCAAAATCACTGCTCCCTTCTCCTGCTTCCAGCTCCTGAGATAGATGAAGATGCTGAACCAGATATTTGTTCTGACCCAGTAGACTCGTAGCGATATGTTTTGTGATACAGTCTTGAAACTTCCAAGACTTAGTTATATTGGCAAATCTCTGTGCGCGCTGCCTGCTGGTGAAAGACAGTTTTGTGCTCCTGAAAGATAAGTACTGCAGACAGGTGCTGTGCAAAATTCCCAGATGTAACCGCTGAAGTACACCAATTTGGACATGCAAATTCCTTGTCTATTCTAGTCCTGGGTCCCCCAAACTGCCAATTGTGCAGCAATTCTGCTAAGTGGAGACAGAATGGTACCAAAGCCATGATCCCTTGCCACACACTCCAGGCTCTCTTCTTTATCTCTACTTGTTAGAGAGGCAAATTATTCCCTTTTCTAGTTCCTGAAGTGTATGGGGAATGCGTGCTTTTCTTTACTTGTGAGAGTGGGGGAAAGCCATTTAAAACATCTGAAATCACCAGCTGTTTCTGTGCTCACAAGAATTTTACACATATCCCATGGATTATGGAAATCTAATCCAGGCCCTAAGAATTACTGGTTTAGGATATGCCAGTCACAGGATAAAAAACCTTCAGTTTTTACTGATAAGTTTCACTTTCACTTTTTTAAAAAGCCAGGTACTCAAATGATACACTCTGGCACCCTACAATAGCTCAAACCATGTGGCACCAGGCAAGAGTCAGCCTGTGTGTTTTCTGCACCAGTATCATGTCTTACTTGAGGCAACTTGATAGGCAGGTAGAGGATAGAGCCATCAAATGCCGTAACGTCTCCTGTCACCGATCTATGCTCCTTCATCATCCCAAACCGCATACTCTTGCATTCCACATTAGGACTGCAGGTCAGGGAGTTAAGGAGAAGGTGGGGAGAAGAGAAGAGAGAATGTTTTATAGGGTCTGCAATATCCTTTTACTTGGAAAATATGAGTATGCATTCAAATTCTAGTTAACGCTATTGTGTCCACTACAGGCTCTCAGAGAGCTTTAGTATGACACCTTACAACTCTGTCACAGCCATAACCCAAACCCGAGCCAATAAAACCGCAACAGAGGAAAACAAATCAGTGCAATATGCAGATGAATATCAACACACAAGAAGAAAGCAGGGGTTCAAATCAACTCTATTGCAACTGACACAGCCACAATCCTTACCCTGTGCTAGGGCAACTTATTGCAACGAAGACCTAAAACATCACCTAACGTTTGTGACTGTTGCCCCATCTAGTGGCTATTCCAGAGCCATTATTAATGCTCGTGGTACAGTATTAATGCCTTATGCCAAGAGAACGGATTTGTATTGTGTTACATCTCCAGGATAGTTGTGACCACCAGAAGGATTCTGGAAGAATTGTTACCATAACATTCCTCTAATTAAATCCAGATACTCAAAGGATAGGATGTTCCCCAATGCTTAATTTCAGGAATTGTGAAATCAATTTAAATTAAGGATATTTTCCCTGGGCACTCTGTCGTCCAAATCTCCATGGGAATCGCTTGAAAATCATTCAGAGGGGCAAGTTCACAGAAGTCATATGAGTTCCACTGCTAATTTCACTAGCTTCTATACCTCTACAAACCTTACTATAATTGAGATAGATGTTCAAGTGTGCAAGGTGTCGCTACCTGAAAGTCACATGGTACTGGTAAACGGCTTCATTTTTGCAGTGTATTTTAATCAGGTTCAATCCCAAGGGGAACGGAGTTCCTTTAGATCCTTGCTTCACTACCGGTTCTCTGTAAAGATATGAAGGGAAGGAAGACAAAGGCATATAATAATTTTGTCTAGATTAATGCAAAGAGGCAGCACAGGATGCCAGCACTGGCTGAGGATCTGAGAAAAAAAAAATCTGAATGCATCAACACCACCCCTAGACCTCTTCTGTACTGTGCACCTGTGCAACAATTAGTATGTGCTGAGAACATCTCATTAATACTTTCCACATGTGCATCTCAAAGCACTTTGCAAACATTTTTCAACTCCCAACACCCACTGAAAGGCAGGAAATATGGTATCCATTTTTCAAGATGCGTAAACTATGAAAAAAGAAGAGGTTAAGTGACCTACCAAAGTTTGTTCAGTGACTGAGTGTTCTTATCACAATGCCTGTTTAAAAAAATATTAGTTTTAAGAGAGACAAGTTGTAGCAATATCCTATCCCAGTAGAGTTGGCTCAGCTTTGCAATACTGTAGATTCACATTGTGTGAAGTCTGTTTAGAATCTGGATTGTTTGGTCTGGAAGGGTCTTCCTGAAGGTCACTTGTATTGTTCCCAACCCTTCTCCCGCAGCATGATCCATGTTACTAGTCCTAAACTAAGTCAGGTAGCCAGGTGCCCAGTCTATCTTAGAATATATTCAAAAATGGCTCCCCCTGCTCTACAATTAGCAAGTTAGAGTGTAAGACAGCAGCTACCAGTGGGAAGCAGCTGCACAAAGCTACACACGCCGCCACTGTCAGCATTTTTCATGAGACAGTTTCAGAGAAAGGTTACCTAGATATTGTAAAAACAACAAGGAGTACTTGTGGCACCTTAGAGACTAACAATTTTATTTGGGCACCAGCTTTCGTGGGCTAAAACCCACTCCATCAGATGCATGGAATGGAAAATACAGTAGGAATATAATCTCACACACACACAGAGTACATGAAAAGATGAGAGTCTGCAGCAATGAGTCCACCAGGCGCCAAGCCACATCACTGAACAGAGGATTTTCCTTAGGGGTTTCTACAGCATAAATGGCTACGGCATCCATGTACCTACTAGTTGATCTAAGACACGTTTAGAAATAAGTGTGCAACTCACCACATCCATCTCTCACTTACTTTCTCTCCATCTGTTCAACAAGGATGGGAAGAGGACTTTCTGGCTGGGATGCAAACCTGAGGGGTGACAGCAGTGGCTGCAAGAGCTGAGGCTGAAGCACACCTGTGTGCAGGGAAGTCAAGTCTGTAGGAACTTTGCACAACACCCTGCCGAGTGACACAGCCATTCTTCCAAGAGGGACAGGTGGAGCTTCCATTTGCCCACGGCCAAGAATTCTGAATCCATATTCAAGAAAGAAAAGTAAAAACGTTAACCCTTCCCCAACTTTAAGTTTGCACCCCCATTATACATTACATAACCTGCATTCACATCAGTCAAATAATGTTTAAAACAGGTTTTGGTCTGTCTTTATTCCGCTCCTCTGGTTTTGAGGCTGAAGCTTATTTAAGCCTAAGACCAAGATCCAAGCCTGACAAGACTCAGACTGCGGCCAAACTTGACACACCTGTGCATCATTAGCCAGAGGGCATTTCTTCTTTCTGCAGATTTGTCCTTCACCAAATGGTACAGCTATGACTTCTTGCACCCAGAGGGCTCCCTGGTATCCCTGTTCCAGAGCCCAAACTCTACAAAAGTAGCATGCCAGTGATACCTGACTCTTGCCCAGGGAGTTTTAGGAGAGACATGGACATTGTAGATGGAAGAGAGCTGTTAACGTTCCATCTCAGCCTTCCCCACAAGCCAGTACAAGACAATTCCCTATGGTACATTCTTCTTATTTATCATTTGTATTACAGTAGTGCTTAAGTGCATGAGGCGCCATTGTGCTATGCCTGTAGTAAAGATACAGTCCATTCTCCCAAAACTCTATCCAGTCTAGTTTTAAGTAAGTTCTTCACCCACTTTCTTTGAAATGTGGTTGAAAACAGAGGTTTATTTGTTTGCTCTTAGCACAACCCATAATCTCCATTTTGCTCCTCCGCATGGATTGTATATTTGATTTTTCATCAGTACAATTGCTTCCTATATCTACCCTAGTTCACCTTGGGACAGAACAGCAGCCCAGACCCTTTACAAAGAGCGTGAGGAAGTTTACTAGCAGGCATGCTTGCAGTGGAGGAGCCACACACATCTTGACAATCTGTCTAATGGCACTCTACCTCAATCCCCTTTCCACACACACTCTACAGCAGAATGACACAGAAAACTAGAATGCAGCTCTTTCATCAGCCAGCCCAACCAATACCAACTGCTGCATACAATCCTCCAGACTGGCAATGTTGAATGCAATTACTGTACTGATCTCCCTGAGAGACGAAGATCATCCCTCTGAGTTGTGTTAATACTAATAAACCTCATTTCTAGAGCATTTTCATCCCCCAGTTGACCTACAAGCATTAATTTGTTTATCACTGAAATGCAGCCACCTCTGGCATGCAGGCCTGCAATCAAACACCACAAGAGAGGGAACTCTGGCCAAGGACATCAAAGGACTTTTCAACTCACACAAAAAACCACTGCACCATGTTTACCACCCATATAGAGCAGATGGACCTTGTTTTCAATCTCATTCAAAAGACCTGCACATAGCAAATGGCAGCACACTCAACCGACCTGCCTTGGCAGAATAAAAGATTCAGTCAGCCCTGCTGCATTTCAAGCCTGTGCTGCTGAGGAGCACTAGTAGATCAAACCTGCTGTTTAGTCTAGTAAGCCATCTCCAATGTCTGTTACATACACTGCACATGTGCAGTGTACAAGCCTAGTTCACTGGTATATGAAAGCTATTGCTGACTAAGTAGCACATACACAGTTCTTTCTGAACCAAGAGTTCAGCTCAAGCAAACATTTTACTCACCTGCCAGGAAAAAGCGGCATCCTCTCCCCTTTGCTGTACCCAGCTGGCATGACATTTGGTGATGGAAAGGTGGGCTGCACTGGCATGACTGCTTTAGGGTTGGCCTCCATACCACCCATGCCCTTGCCCAAGATGCCTCGACCTGAATGAAGGGATAGATTCAAAACATGCCTGAAGAAACCTCCCAAGATATGAAAGAGGTTTCTTTCCCCGTTTAAATACTACACCACACAACAGCCTTTGCTGGAAGAGAACAGAAACTTATACAAGGCTGGGATAACTTACCCAAAGGCTGAACTGCCCGTCCCAAGGCAGGTCTCGGGATGGTCTCAAAACCAAGTCCTTGGAACATGGAAGGCAGAGTCATGACAGATGCCAGAGGTTCCTGCAGAAAGCCAAAGGATAAAGCTTTAAAGAATGGACAGAGAAGCCTCATTAAGACCTAAAGGAACAATCTCAATGGATTAGCTGTACTTCCAAGGTACATATCATGCAAGAAACTCTTTCTTAGGTACTGAAGCATAACTACAAAGTAAGGAAAACCTCTCTCGGGAAATCTTAAGGGAGCAGCTTATTTGACAGCAGTGTTTGCATGCAACCCAAGCAGACCAAAAGCAGAGTTTTCTTAGCTTTCCCGCAAAAAATATCCACTTGCTGCAGCTGTAAGGTCTCCCTGCAGAGGTTTGTAGACTACAGACCTCCAGTTACACACTCACAACTGCAAAGCAGCAATTAATTCTAAAGCTAAACCTTTTTAATTTAAAATTATTACAAAAGCAGTTGAATTACCGGTGACGTTCTTATCCTATAATAAAGTCATAAGTTTTTGTTCCACACCTTAACAGGTAGCATTCTAGGAAGTTGGCTGTAGGTTCAACAGAGCCCCTACAAAAAAGTAAACGAGGAAACATGTCCAGGCCTCTTAAGAGCAACAGAACGAATGCTCAGACATGATCCATGCTGCAGAGAGCATATTCAGTTTATTCCACTAGTCAACATCATCAGACACAGTGATAAGAACTGCTATTCAGTTGCACTCGTTTAGGTTAATGTCAACATACTATCCTTAGCTAGAACAAACACATTCACTGCTATTATTTTCTAAGCAATTAGAATGTTATCACGGATCCGTAGACACCTAAGCAGAGACAGTCTGCCCTGGAGAGCTCAGAGTCTAGAAATACAGTTGTCATAGCAAGTCTCTGATTAAGTTACTTAGAAGTTGTTATATTAAGAATTAAAAAGATCAAAAGTCAGATTTTGCTACACTTCTTAAAGACTACCTTGATGGGAAGAAGCTATAATTTTGAAGGGGGAAGTGAGTAAAATGAGTGAGCTCATTTATATAGCTCTCTTTAAGACAGTGGTTCTCAACTGTGGTCCACGGCTTGTTCAGGGAAAGCCCCGGCGCACCGGTTTATTTACCTACCGCATCCGCAGGTTAGGCCGATAGCGGCTCCCACTGGCCGCGGTTTGCTGTGCCCAGCCAATGGGGGCTGTGGGAAGCAGCGCGGGCCGAGGGATGTGCTGGCTGCCCTTCCTGCAGCCCCCATTGGCCTGGAGCGGCGAACCGCAGCCGGCAATCGGCTGAACCTGCGGAAGCGGCAGGTAAACAAACTGGCCCGGCGCTCCAGGGGCTTTCCCTGAACAAGCGGTGGACCACAGTTGAGAGCCACTGCTTTAAGGAATGAAGCAAAACTTGCTTCTTCCAATCCTGTCCAAGAGGTCTCATTGCAAATAAGACATTTTAGATTAGTGTTGAAATGACCCACAGCAATTAAATGAAATTAAATATTTGATAGGGGAGGGAACTTTGAGAGGCAAGGCAGCAAGATCCAATCAATTTAAAATAAGTTAAAGATAGTTCCACACCTTGCACCAGCCCAAGCCCCCCATACACTTATTACAACTTTTGTAATTTTAAAAATTGGTTTTCCTCCCGCTTGTTGCGGCGAGAATAACTCACAACCACAGTAAGAGAAACTGACTATCTATACAGAGGAAAGGGAAACGGACCCTTTGCAAAGTGCTGGCCAACACAGAGTAAACAAATTAAGACTATGTCTACATTGGAGCTGGAAGGTGTATTTTCCAGCTCAAGCAGACATCACCTGTGCTAGCTCTGATCAAGCTAGCATGCTAAAAATAGAAGCATAGCTGGATCAGCATGAGGGACTAGCCACCCAAGTACATAACGAGGATCTCGGGTGGGGCTGTACTCGGGGCAGGGCTAACCAGTAGTATGCCAGCTGGATTAGAGCTAGGGAAAGTTTGTCTATTCAAGCTGGAAATGACACTTTCTAACAAACATATCCTAAGAGAGATAAATATCTCCTTCCATCTAACCGGTCAGTTATGGGAATGCCAGTCACTCCCCGGCTCAGCCAGTCTGTACATCACCCAGCACAATGGGGCCGTGACTGGGACTTCTAGGCAGTACTGCAATACAAATACATACGTGAATAGGCAAGATGTTCCCTAGCGAGACATACGACTTTGACAGCGATGGGGCCCCACTGGAACGTTTACCTGCTGTACCAGCCCTGCTGGCTGCCGTGGCTCCTCCGGCACCCTCTGCATCCTGCTGGCAGGTGGGACGGACGCTGCCCTGCCACGGACCAGATGCTCAGGCTGAGGCAGCTGCAGCTGAGGCCCAGGCATGCGGGCCCCACAGGGCTTGCGAAAGGGGGCAGCGCCCTGGAAAGGGGGCCTCCAGGGATCCATGGCGAGGCTGCCGGAGAGAAAACACGTGTGGCACGGAGGCAGGTACGAGGGGGTGGGTGGGGTCACCAACAGGCCAGGGACCTGGGTGCAGCCCCCTGCCTAGCATCCAGGGTGGCAGCTCGGGGGCGACCCCGTCCAGGGCCAACCTCCAGGTACAGCGCCCATTGCTGTAACGCCAGCGCCCCGCCCCCCCGGGGGTCCAACCCGCCGCCCCCCCGGGGGGTCCAACCCGCCGCCCCCCCGGGGGGGTCCAACCCGCCGCCCCCCCGGGGGGGTCCAACCCGCCGCCCCCCCGGGGGGGTCCAACCCGCCGCCCCCCGGGGGGGTCCAACCCGCCGCCCCCCCGGGGGGTCCAACCTGTCCCAGGCTCCCCCTCTCGAGGAGGAGGCGGGGGGGGGGATCTCGGCCCTTTCCAGCCCCCTCCTGTGCCCCTTCCCCGGGGGACCCAGGGGCCCGCTGCCCCCTTTCCCAGCCTCGCCCGGCGTCCTGCCCCCGGCGCTAGGAGCTGCCCTCACCGGGCCGGGCGCGATCCTCCCCTTTCGCGCGCTCACGGCCAAGCCTCAGCGCCTCGCCCTGTCGCCCGGCTCCACGGCTGCCCTCCATTGGGCCACGCCGCCGTCTGTCACTCAGCTCCACCCTCCCATTGGAGACTATCCCCCCCGGGGCCCGCCCATGTCACAGACCTTGCCTGGGAGCTACCAAACTTAAGGGGAAGGGGGGGCAGAGCAAAGGGGTGCTATCCTCCCATCCAGTGCCTAGTGCTGCGGGCAGCGCAGGGGATATAGCAGTATCACCCCCACATAGTGAATGGTGAAGCCCATGCGCTATTCATCCCCACCTGGCAGTCTGTGTTTATCCTGGGAGAGAGGCGCCTCTAATTGTTAAATTTCAATTAAAAACAACCAAATTTAGAATGTAACGCAAGTAGCTACCTCCTTTTCCTGCGGATAGAGTGGGGCAAAGGAGAGACGATAAAAGCCGCCCCCCCAAAAAAAATGGAAATAAAAATTTGGCTTTTCCAGTCTTGGTTTTTAAATAAAAAAAAAATTACAATTCTACAAACATGTCATTTAAAAAGGCCCCTTTTCATTGAAAAGATTGAAAAATTGCAACTATCCCAAGATTTCAGTGTGCTATAAAACATTAATCAATTAAACCTCACAACCACTTTGTGTGCTAGGCATTATTACCAAATGAGGAAATTGAGGCAGAGTGAAGCAACTTGCCCAGGGTAATCTATTTACTTAGCTAGTAAACTATTTGGGTCAGGGACCTTGTTTTTGTTCAGTGTTTATACAGAGCCTAGCGCAGTGGTTCTTAGACTTTTGTACTGGTGACCTCTTTCACACAGCAAGCCTCTGAGTGCAGCGCCCCCCCCACCATAAATTAAAAACACTTTTATATATTTAGCACTATTATAAATGAAGTGAGGTTTGGGGTAGAGGCTGACAGCTCATGTCATGACCCCCAGTTTGAGAACTCCTAACACAATGGAGTTCTGGTCCATGGCAGGGGCTCCTAGGCTAGGTGATACTGCAGAGCCAGAAGGGAAACCAGCAGTCCTCAGAGTTTGGTCACACCAGCTTAGTAGAGGGAGCGGGAAGGGCTACAGGCATTTCTCAGCCAGATAGAACTCATTCTCTCTGCCCTTGTTTCGTCTGGCGTGCTTTGCCCAGAGAGGAGGAAGCTGCAGCGAGTGAGTCTCCGCCCGACTCTCAGAGTATAACGCTCCTTTTCCCCAGGATGCGCGGGATGGGGGTGGGGAGTAAGGGGGTTCAGATGCGGAGTCACTCCTGGGAGAGGGGGCAATGCGTTTGCTGTGGGGTTGATCCCTTTCAGTCGCCGCTGGGCCCTCGGGAGCTGCATTCAGCACCACGGACAGCAACCCACAAGGTATATTAATTAAGTCAATGGGAGAATTCCTTTCCATCGCTTGGAGTGGCTACACTGGCAGCACTTGTAAGCTCTCTAGTGTCAGAGTCAGATTCAGGACTCACATAAATTGTCAGACCACTCTGTTTATTAGCAAAGCGCTTTGCCAATGCACCCAGATATGTGAGTCCCTGCAAAAGCTCAAGCTAACTTATTTATACAGACAAGCCAAAGGCAATTTAACATAAGAGACAAAAGGAAGCAGAAACTGACAAATATACATGCATATCTTATTTGCATATTAACATTTACCAATCTCCTAGCTCAGTAGGAACTCTAAGTTAATTAGTTTGAGGACCCCTTGTCTCACACTCCTTAATGTTTCTCTTCCTGACAACTATATATCAACAAACCCTTCAAGTAGCATTTATTTAATGAATTATAATTTCAATATAATTCATTCTACTTTTACACTAGTGTAGCCATAGCCTGAGATTGTGTCCATGTGAGCATTTCTCTTAATTGCTCATTTACCGATGCTGCATGGCTCCAGTGCCTGGAGCCTGAACCCTGTTTTTGCTGGGCCTTCTGACTGAGAAACCCAGCCCCATACTTCCTTTCTCCCTCTTTCTGTGTGCCTCACTCTGTCTCTGAAATTGCCCCTTCACTTCTCCCCTGCTTCTCAGGACCTGAGCCTGCTCCAGCTGGAGATAAGTAGCAACAGCCCCATTGTATTATTCAGTGGAATTAAGAGGATCAAGTCCTGTAATTCCTGTGCTCTAGGCGTCAGCCAAATTCAGAGTTGGTTTACACCCTCTTACACCAGGTCTGGATTTGACTTTACATGGTGAGTCTCTTCCCAGGCAAGGGAGTTCTAGATTGATTTTCATCTCTCCTTTTCACTATGGCTTGCATTGCCTTTTCCTGAATATCAGCCAGATTCCGTGGGACTCTTCAAATCCTATTGATGATGACAGGATTTGAAGGTACTCAGCACCTGATAGTACTGGACACTCTAGTAGCATAATGTGTTTACCTCCATCTGTAAGTACTTTTGGTGACCTTTGTGTGTCTCCTTGCCCTTAGAAATTTATGTATAAATCCTTGCTTTTAGTGTGCCGGTATAATTTATTTGGGGGGGTCAGAGAGAGATTCCATCTGTTCCATGTTATCAAACTATATCTTTCATATTGTTTTAGTAGAATTAAAGAAGGATTGAACTGTTAATATAACTTTAGTAGACACAAGTTAAAAATAATGATTTTTTTTAAATAAAGGAATGAGGTGCTGGGTCTTCCCCACTGCCTGACGGTCTTTGGGGCTGCTACCTACTACAGCATCAAGTGGGTCTCAGATGCCCTGGACTCCACTCAGAAACAGAGGATGAACCTAAAAAAAAGGTATGGCACTTCAGAGATCATGCAGATAGGTGTGAAGGTGAGGAAAGGAGGGGCACCTGTTAGAGAGACAAAGAGGCACCCACAGAAGGATGGCTGGGGACTTCCTGGAATACAGTTCCATTTTCACAAGGCCTTAAGCCTCCATCTCCTGTTCTGAATAAAGATTCTAGTGGGCTCCTTACTGAAGGACATTTGTACAATGGCTAAACACAATAGAATAACATAGGATTTGCCATACTGAGTCAAATCAGTGGTCCATCTAGTTCAGTGCCCTGTTTCCAACAGGGACCATTAGCAGAGCCAGGAATACAAACCAGATCTCCTGAATCCCAGTCCAGTACTCTAAACCACTAGACCACACTACCTCACATGTAGAACCATATTAAAAATTTAGTACACTGCAAAAGTTAATTTCTGAAAAGAGATTAATGTAACATTGAATTTCATATTTGATTCAATCAACTTTTTAAAAAATTCTGAATTGGAATGCTGCAGAAACCAGAAGACCTTGCCAATTTTAGGCCAATCTTATCATAGAAACAGTGGTCTCAAATAATGTGCTCAAGAAGAACAGAGCCTGCAGATCTCAAGAAATCTACAAGCTTGTGAGCAGTGAAGGAACCAAACAAAGTCCCATTCTTGTGCGCGTTAGAAGCTCAAGGAGGGCAATTTTAAGGTCGCACCATGGTCTGCCCAAAAATGTGTGATGCAAGAGAAAAATGAAACTTGCACCATTACAGGATAGTTACTTCCAATGCCCACATGAAAAAGGTAAAAACAGATAATAATTAAGTTAAAATTAATGATACCAAAATTCTTCACAAGTTTATGGTTTTTTTTGTTTAGCCAAAGACAGAACTGAGACTACACCTGAATTTATACATTTTATTAATTTAATTACTTAACTATTAATAAATATATTAATAAACAAAGAGTTACAGAAAGCAAAGTAAGTTGATATGACAGTCAAAGTTAAATGTATTAATTTAACATGGAATATTCCAATTTTTATCAAGTAGGTATAATCAAATCTAGTGAATTCATTTCACACATCATAAAATGGTGATATTAGCAAGACCTTAGCACAGAACAGAATTAACTACCAGTGTAAATCTTTTAAGAAAGATCATTGTTCAACACTTAACTGGCAGAAATAGAAGTAAAAAGTTTTTTAGTTATTGCACTTCAAAAAGCTCAATAAGGTTTTAGTGATCTCCAACAGCTGAAGAAATGTTAACTTTTGAAAATCTCTGAAGATATCTTTATTCTTCTGGGTCATCTTCATCCCAGATTTTGGAATTAGTAATGACGGTAAGAACTGAGGTAGCCAGGTAGGTCCTGGATCCCTGTTGAGCTTAAAATTCAAACCTCAGTGCTTTCAAACACCTACCCTAAATTAACTTTCACACCAATAAAATTGCACCAAACAGGCAACCTCAACTTTGCACCCTAAGTACATCTAATAATATACAAATGCAAAAACATCTAAGATTTTCAACAATTCACTGTAAACCAATACCTGAGAAACAGTCATCATCACAAAATATTGCGCCTCTACAAAAATACTAACACTTCACAGAAAAATACCTACCTAAAACATCCATATCATCATCCTCAAGAATCCACTTAATTCAATAAGCATAAAAATCCATTAAAACACAACTATTACCACGTACATCAATATACACAACTACCAAAAAATACTCTAACTGTTCTGACACAATAGGTGCAAAGTTAAAATTGAACGTGTGGTGCAGTTTGGTCGGTGTGACCGTTGAAGTAGAGTAGGTGTTTGAAAGTTGTGAAGTGCGGGCAGTAACTGCCAGTTTCCAGAACAACATTCAGTTTTGGTTGCTTGTTTTTAGCGATGCGTGAGAGATACAGAGCTTTAAAAATATGAAGTTAGACAGTATCTGGAGTAAATGTTAATCTTTTCAACGTTAACTTTTTTGAAGTTTTTTTGCGGGGAGCTTGGGGTAAGTGGAGAATACAAACACATGCCCTCCCTTCAGTTACATCTTTGCATTTCCAGTAGGAAATTATGATTTATTTCTTAATAATAGAAGTGCTTGTGTGTTTAAAATCTCTGCATTACAGATTCACAATTATTCCTTTGTGCCTAGTGACAAACCTGTTAGTAAAAACAATAAATACAAAAGCATTAGTCGCCCAACTATATAAAAGTCACACACTTAAGTCAAAGGAACACATTTTCTAAGATGTGTGTAACTCTTTTACATAAAATCAGGTAGTCACCTTGTTAAAATACTTTTAAAATATTTGGTTACATATCTACATAAAATCAACATTTAGATGCAAATAACCAGTTGTACTGACAATTTCTAACTGGCGATAGGTAGAAACTTAGTATAATTCCATATGGTATCATTGCTATGGTACTGTTGTGGTATAAAAAATGGGCTGAGAAAAAGGAGAAAGGTGAATAGTGTGCCTATTGAAAGAGGTTTTCCAACACTCTTTAGGGTGGCCACCCTACATCTCAGTTTTCTTCCATCTTTTTCAAACAGTTTTTCAGCTTTGAACAACTTGTTGTAGCTTACAGTGACTTTAAGGAAATGGCTAAACAGAAGTCCAAATCACTAAGCAATGACATGAAAATGACTCGTCAAAGAATTGTAAAGATTAATTAAATAAAAAATACATCCCACTTTTCTACTAGAATGTGAAAGTATGATGCACAAAGTATGCTTTATGGACTCATTAATAAAAGACAATTAGAGAGGACATACATGATTATAAAATAAGATGATATATCAGTTCTCATGTGGCACAGGTAGTTACAGAACTGAAAGGTCATAGCAGGAAATCTTCAGGCTATGCTGTGGTGCCACAAGTAATTGAGCTTCAGAGTTTGTTGTATATTGCCTATTAACATAAAACAGCATTTGAAAGGTGACAGATGTGAGTCACTTTGTTCAATTTATCTTTCCAGTGCACTCATATGCCATGGTGCTGGACATGATATAAACCTAAAGAGAACACAAAAATATTATTTTAATGCCATGTTAATTACATTACACAAGAAATATTTAATATTGCTTAAGGAAATCTAGTAATGCGATACATTAGAGGAATTTATAGTATGATTTACCTTTGAAATAGATCACACAACAAAATTTGCTCTCAGAATTTGTTTCCTTTCTTCTTCTTCACAGGCTGTTAGCGTCTCTTTTCTCATTTTTCGGTTGGGTGCTTCTGTTTTGTCTCATTTTCCTTAAGAGGATGTAAAGGGTGTGCAAGACAGTTACATCAGACTTGCAATGCTATTTGATAAACACAACAGAAACATGTTGCATGTTTAAAGACAGAACAAAATATATTTCAAAAAGAAGTAGACAAAAGGATAAAGTAAAGATTCAGTCATTGAAAAAGAAGACTGATAGTCAAAATACAGGTATCCATTTCAAGCTTTAGAATGCACGAATAAAGTAGACATACCTATAGAACCACAAATGAAAAAAAAAACTATATTTCCAGAAAACAATGCCTCAAAACTAAAAGGGGAATATTTAAAGCATTTATCAATGTATTTTAAGAAAAGTAATTCTACCTGACTCAATAAATTACCACCATACAGGGACAGCAAAAAGGCACAGGAATGTTACCTAATCAACCGTATTTGAAAGCCAAAGTCTCAAAATTTCCCTTTCACACATATTACACTAAGCAGTTAAAAAGTCTTCATACAAAACCAGGAGGAATGACAAAATCAAGAGCAGCATGGAATTAACACACAGATATCAGAATTAATGGAAACAGGAAAAATGTACAAACTGACTTCTTAGAAAACTGCCACAGAACCCTCCCTTTCTGAGCTTACCAGCAACAGCTGCCGGAGGTCGGGTCTCCAAGAGCACAGTAAGAGGAGCAGAAAGCAGGAGACTTGGCTGCACAATTCCAGGCTCGAGATCCCCGTAGAGTGTAATTACATGACCTGAGGCCTGATACAGAGAGGTTACTGCGCCCAGAGTCCCTTGCCTTCTCCTCCATCTTCAGTGACTTGTCCTCTGTACTCTTCTTTGCTTGACATTCCTGACACTTCCTTCTTGGCCACTTGTGCTTCGAGCTGTCTGAAACAGAGAAAGGGAGCACACAGGCGTGTGTCAGTCAGAAGCTCTTACGACAACTCCGCATCCCCGACGCAAACTGAGCGTAAACTACCGACACAGTGTTGTTTTCCGGGTCTGAGACAGCTTGGCTGTTCAGCTCCAAGATAGTTCTCTGCGGTCCTCAGACAATTCCGTAAGGACTTTCCCCTTCTCCCAAGCCCCACCCCGGGTGACAAAAATACCAAACCCATCCTACTCCAGAGGCACAATCTCCACATTTCCCCTTGACAACTATTACACCAGGCGGGCTCCAGGCTAAATCAAGAGGAATTAGATGAGTAAGGGCAGTACGGAATTAATGGACAAGTGTTCCAAAGTCATTGTCACAAGGGAAACTGCCTGGATTGACTTAGTCCAAAACTTAGTCCATAGGACCCTCCCTTTCTGAGCTTACCAGCAACAGCAGCAGGAGGTCGGGTCTCCAAGAGCACAGTAAGCGGAGCAGAAAGCAGGAGACTTGGCTGCACAATTCCAGGCAAGTTGAAAGCGCAGTGCAAAGGGCCAGGACTCTGGACACAGTCTCATGGGGGCACCATAAAAAGTGTCTGATGAGACCTGTACCCTGTTTACAGGGTGCTCATTCAGATCAGTGGGCTGCACTTGACCTAGTGCCAAGAGACTAGAGGGCAAAGACCAGAGCCCTGAAAGACAGGGCAGTCCCTCGCCTCAGGGCTGTGAAGACAGCACAATGCCAAGAACCCCAAAGGGCCTCCAAGACTCAAACCCTAGTTACAGGGAGGTCAAACTGCCCATGTTACTGAAATGGTTCCAATTCCATAAGATTTCAAAAGAGAGATGCAACCTGTACCCTGATTACAGGGTGGTCACAGGGATTAGCCAAACAGCAGAGACCGTAACCTGAATTACAGGAAGGTCAAGCTCCTCAAAGTACCAAAAGGCTCAATATGTCCCATTCTATAGATATTTGTGACATGTACCCTAATGACAGGGTTGTCACGCTGACTAGTTGACCAGAGCATGGCCTAATGCCAAATAAGCAAATGGCAGAGACCTGGACCCTAGTTACAGGGCGGTCAGACTGCTCAGGGTTCCACAGAGCTCAATATCCCCCAGCAGGCAGAAGGACACAGACAATCCCTTAATTACAAGGTCAGGAACTCAAACCAACCGGCTGAAGTAGCAGAGTGGCAAAAGAACAAAGGGCAGAGACCTGAACCCTCGATACAGGGTGGCCATGCTGCCCAAGTACTAAGGGATGCTGTACTTCCTGTGAGTCACAGGCACCTGAGCTAAATCCGCCTCCTTAAAGGCCAGTCATTGTCATCAGCCCACTAAATGGAACTCAGCCTAAACGGAGAGACCAGATCCCCGTTGACAGGGAGGTCACACTGTCCACGGCAATAAAAGATGACATCTGAGCCCTTACTCTTCCCTTTTGTGGGGAGGAGGAGGATAAAAACATTAATACACTTTGAGCTCTTTTTCCGATTCTGAGAAGAGTAAAGAAAAAGCGCTGCAGCGATTTAACTTAAAAAAATAAAAATAAATAACTAAAAATTAAAAAGCTTGCACACCCACTTCTATCACGTGCTCTCACAAACACATCCATACAAAACAAAGGGGGACTTCCCAGAACAGAAAGAGAGCTCATCGAAAGAGGTCACTCGACCCACAGTGTTAAACTCGACCAATCTTCCTCCCCTCAAAAAAAGCAAAGGGAAAAGGGACAAGACCTGCACCCTGATTACAGGGTGGGGTCAAAGTGAGTAGCCCAACAGCCCAAAGGAGCCACAGGGGAAAGGACCTGAACCCTTCTTACAGGGCGGTCCACCGGGCTAGCCGATTAATGGAAAATCCATCACGAGTAAGAGAAAAGGGGGAGACCTGAACCCTACTTACAGGGTGGTCACTCAGCCCAACGCATGAAGGGGAACCTAGTCCTCCCTAAATAAGAGGCGCATGACCTGCACCCTAATTACAGGGCAGTCATACTGACCAGGCTGAGAACAAGACGCAATCCCAGAGGAGCAAAGGACAGAGACCTGAACCCTAGTTACAGGGAGGTCACCCGGCTCAAGTATCAAAGACATCAGTAGCTCCCGTAAGCGAGGGATTGTGACTCTCACCCTGATTACAAGGTGGTCACTCTGACTAGCTGAATTAAAGAGCATAATCACAGAAGACAACTTGAGACCTGAACCCTGATTACAGGGCGGTCATGCTCCTAAGGGCCCTAAAATAACCCTAATCCCTGATAAATGAGAGGGTTTCGACCTGCACCCTAATTACGGTGTGGTCTTTCCGATTAGAAAGATAAAGGTGCATAAAGCCAGGGAGCAAAAGGGCAGAGACCCGACCCCGAATTACAGGGCGGTCACGCCCCACAAGGTATCAAAGGGCTCAGTATTTCCCATCCTACAGAAACTTGTGACACGCACCTGAATTACAGGTGGTCACAGTGAGTAGACTCTCAGCAGGGCATGACGGCAAACAGCAAGATGGCAGAGACCTGACTCCGAATTACAGGGAGGTGAGTCACCCTGCTCAGGGTTCCAAAGAGCTCAGTATCCCCCAGAAGCAAAAGGAATATGACTTGCACCCTGATTACAGGGCTGTCATCCCGACTACAGGGCTACAACAAGGCATAATGCCAAATGAGCAAGTGGGCAAAGACCCGGACCCTAGTTACAGGGTGGTCACATTGCTCAAGTTACCAAAGAGCTCCATGTCCCTCGAAAGCGAGGGGGAGGTGACTTGCACCCTGATTACAGGGCAGTCACTCCCACTAGACAGCTAACGGAGCATAATGTGAAAAGGACAAAACAGCACAGGACTGGACCCTGCTTACAGGGCGGTCACGCTGCTCAAGGTTTTAAAAGGCTCGAGATCCCCGTAGAGTGTAATTACATGACCTGAGGCCTGATACAGAGAGGTTACTGCGCCCAGAGTCCCTTGCCTTCTCCTCCATCTTCAGTGACTTGTCCTCTGTACTCTTCTTTGCTTGACATTCCTGACACTTCCTTCTTGGCCACTTGTGCTTCGAGCTGTCTGAAACAGAGAAAGGGAGCACACAGGCGTGTGTCAGTCAGAAGCTCTTACGACAACTCCGCATCCCCGACGCAAACTGAGCGTAAACTACCGATACAGTGTTGTTTTCCGGGTCTGAGACAGCTTGGCTGTTCAGCTCCAAGATAGTTCTCTGCGGTCCTCAGACAATTCCGTAAGGACTTTCCCCTTCTCCCAAGCCCCACCCCGGGTGACAAAAATACCAAACCCATCCTACTCCAGAGGCACAATCTCCACATTTCCCCTTGACAACTATTACACCAGGCGGGCTCCAGGCTAAATCAAGAGGAATTAGATGAGTAAGGGCAGTACGGAATTAATGGACAAGTGTTCCAAAGTCATTGTCACAAGGGAAACTGCCTGGATTGACTTAGTCCAAAACTTAGTCCATAGGACCCTCCCTTTCTGAGCTTACCAGCAACAGCAGCAGGAGGTCGGGTCTCCAAGAGCACAGTAAGCGGAGCAGAAAGCAGGAGACTTGGCTGCACAATTCCAGGCAAGTTGAAAGCGCAGTGCAAAGGGCCAGGACTCTGGACACAGTCTCATGGGGGCACCATAAAAAGTGTCTGATGAGACCTGTACCCTGTTTACAGGGTGCTCATTCAGATCAGTGGGCTGCACTTGACCTAGTGCCAAGAGACTAGAAGGCAAAGACCAGAGCCCTGAAAGACAGGGCAGTCCCTCGCCTCAGGGCTGTGAAGACAGCACAATGCCAAGAACCCCAAAGGGCCTCCAAGACTCAAACCCTAATTACAGGGAGGTCAAACTGCCCATGTTACTGAAATGGTTCCAATTCCATAAGATTTCAAAAGAGAGATGCAACCTGTACCCTGATTACAGGGTGGTCACAGGGATTAGCCAAACAGCAGAGACCGTAACCTGAATTACAGGAAGGTCAAGCTCCTCAAAGTACCAAAAGGCTCAATATGTCCCATTCTATAGATATTTGTGACATGTACCCTAATGACAGGGTTGTCACGCTGACTAGTTGACCAGAGCATGGCCTAATGCCAAATAAGCAAGTGGCAGAGACCTGGACCCTAGTTACAGGGCGGTCAGACTGCTCAGGGTTCCACAGAGCTCAATATCCCCCAGCAGGCAGAAGGACACAGACAATCCCTTAATTACAAGGTCAGGAACTCAAACCAACCGGCTGAAGTAGCAGGGTGGCAAAAGAACAAAGGGCAGAGACCTGAACCCTCGATACAGGGTGGCCATGCTGCCCAAGTACTAAGGGATGCTGTACTTCCTGTGAGTCACAGGCACCTGAGCTAAATCCGCCTCCTTAAAGGCCAGTCATTGTCATCAGCCCACTAAATGGAACTCAGCCTAAACGGAGAGACCAGATCCCTGTTGACAGGGAGGTCACACTGTCCACGGCAATAAAAGATGACATCTGAGCCCTTACTCTTCCCTTTTGTGGGGAGGAGGAGGATAAAAACATTAATACACTTTGAGCTCTTTTTCCGATTCTGAGAAGAGTAAAGAAAAAGCGCTGCAGCGATTTAACTTAAAAAAATAAAAATAAATAACTAAAAATTAAAAAGCTTGCACACCCACTTCTATCACGTGCTCTCACAAACACATCCATACAAAACAAAGGGGGACTTCCCAGAACAGAAAGAGAGCTCATCGAAAGAGGTCACTCGACCCACAGTGTTAAACTCGACCAATCTTCCTCCCCTCAAAAAAAGCAAAGGGAAAAGGGACAAGACCTGCACCCTGATTACAGGGTGGGGTCAAAGTGAGTAGCCCAACAGCCCAAAGGAGCCACAGGGGAAAGGACCTGAACCCTTCTTACAGGGCGGTCCACCGGGCTAGCCGATTAATGGAAAATCCATCACGAGTAAGAGAAAAGGGGGAGACCTGAACCCTACTTACAGGGTGGTCACTCAGCCCAACGCATGAAGGGGAACCTAGTCCTCCCTAAATAAGAGGCGCATGACCTGCACCCTAATTACAGGGCAGTCATACTGACCAGGCTGAGAACAAGACGCAATCCCAGAGGAGCAAAGGACAGAGACCTGAACCCTAGTTACAGGGAGGTCACCCGGCTCAAGTATCAAAGACATCAGTAGCTCCCGTAAGCGAGGGGATTGTGACTCTCACCCTGATTACAAGGTGGTCACTCTGACTAGCTGAATTAAAGAGCATAATCACAGAAGACAACTTGAGACCTGAACCCTGATTACAGGGCGGTCATGCTCCTAAGGGCCCTAAAATAACCCTAATCCCTGATAAATGAGAGGGTTTCGACCTGCACCCTAATTACGGTGTGGTCTTTCCGATTAGAAAGATAAAGGTGCATAAAGCCAGGGAGCAAAAGGGCAGAGACCCGACCCCGAATTACAGGGCGGTCACGCCCCACAAGGTATCAAAGGGCTCAGTATTTCCCATCCTACAGAAACTTGTGACACGCACCTGAATTACAGGTGGTCACAGTGAGTAGACTCTCAGCAGGGCATGACGGCAAACAGCAAGATGGCAGAGACCTGACTCCGAATTACAGGGAGGTGAGTCACCCTGCTCAGGGTTCCAAAGAGCTCAGTATCCCCCAGAAGCAAAAGGAATATGACTTGCACCCTGATTACAGGGCTGTCATCCCGACTACAGGGCTACAACAAGGCATAATGCCAAATGAGCAAGTGGGCAAAGACCCGGACCCTAGTTACAGGGTGGTCACATTGCTCAAGTTACCAAAGAGCTCCATGTCCCTCGAAAGCGAGGGGGAGGTGACTTGCACCCTGATTACAGGGCAGTCACTCCCACTAGACAGCTAACGGAGCATAATGTGAAAAGGACAAAACAGCACAGGACTGGACCCTGCTTACAGGGCGGTCACGCTGCTCAAGGTTTTAAAAGGCTCGAGATCCCCGTAGAGTGTAATTACATGACCTGAGGCCTGATACAGAGAGGTTACTGCGCCCAGAGTCCCTTGCCTTCTCCTCCATCTTCAGTGACTTGTCCTCTGTACTCTTCTTTGCTTGACATTCCTGACACTTCCTTCTTGGCCACTTGTGCTTCGAGCTGTCTGAAACAGAGAAAGGGAGCACACAGGCGTGTGTCAGTCAGAAGCTCTTACGACAACTCCGCATCCCCGACGCAAACTGAGCGTAAACTACCGATACAGTGTTGTTTTCCGGGTCTGAGACAGCTTGGCTGTTCAGCTCCAAGATAGTTCTCTGCGGTCCTCAGACAATTCCGTAAGGACTTTCCCCTTCTCCCAAGCCCCACCCCGGGTGACAAAAATACCAAACCCATCCTACTCCAGAGGCACAATCTCCACATTTCCCCTTGACAACTATTACACCAGGCGGGCTCCAGGCTAAATCAAGAGGAATTAGATGAGTAAGGGCAGTACGGAATTAATGGACAAGTGTTCCAAAGTCATTGTCACAAGGGAAACTGCCTGGATTGACTTAGTCCAAAACTTAGTCCATAGGACCCTCCCTTTCTGAGCTTACCAGCAACAGCAGCAGGAGGTCGGGTCTCCAAGAGCACAGTAAGCGGAGCAGAAAGCAGGAGACTTGGCTGCACAATTCCAGGCAAGTTGAAAGCGCAGTGCAAAGGGCCAGGACTCTGGACACAGTCTCATGGGGGCACCATAAAAAGTGTCTGATGAGACCTGTACCCTGTTTACAGGGTGCTCATTCAGATCAGTGGGCTGCACTTGACCTAGTGCCAAGAGACTAGAAGGCAAAGACCAGAGCCCTGAAAGACAGGGCAGTCCCTCGCCTCAGGGCTGTGAAGACAGCACAATGCCAAGAACCCCAAAGGGCCTCCAAGACTCAAACCCTAGTTACAGGGAGGTCAAACTGCCCATGTTACTGAAATGGTTCCAATTCCATAAGATTTCAAAAGAGAGATGCAACCTGTACCCTGATTACAGGGTGGTCACAGGGATTAGCCAAACAGCAGAGACCGTAACCTGAATTACAGGAAGGTCAAGCTCCTCAAAGTACCAAAAGGCTCAATATGTCCCATTCTATAGATATTTGTGACATGTACCCTAATGACAGGGTTGTCACGCTGACTAGTTGACCAGAGCATGGCCTAATGCCAAATAAGCAAGTGGCAGAGACCTGGACCCTAGTTACAGGGCGGTCAGACTGCTCAGGGTTCCACAGAGCTCAATATCCCCCAGCAGGCAGAAGGACACAGACAATCCCTTAATTACAAGGTCAGGAACTCAAACCAACCGGCTGAAGTAGCAGGGTGGCAAAAGAACAAAGGGCAGAGACCTGAACCCTCGATACAGGGTGGCCATGCTGCCCAAGTACTAAGGGATGCTGTACTTCCTGTGAGTCACAGGCACCTGAGCTAAATCCGCCTCCTTAAAGGCCAGTCATTGTCATCAGCCCACTAAGTGGAACTCAGCCTAAACGGAGAGACCAGATCCCTGTTGACAGGGAGGTCACACTGTCCACGGCAATAAAAGATGACATCTGAGCCCTTACTCTTCCCTTTTGTGGGGAGGAGGAGGATAAAAACATTAATACACTTTGAGCTCTTTTTCCGATTCTGAGAAGAGTAAAGAAAAAGCGCTGCAGCGATTTAACTTAAAAAAATAAAAATAAATAACTAAAAATTAAAAAGCTTGCACACCCACTTCTATCACGTGCTCTCACAAACACATCCATACAAAACAAAGGGGGACTTCCCAGAACAGAAAGAGAGCTCATCGAAAGAGGTCACTCGACCCACAGTGTTAAACTCGACCAATCTTCCTCCCCTCAAAAAAAGCAAAGGGAAAAGGGACAAGACCTGCACCCTGATTACAGGGTGGGGTCAAAGTGAGTAGCCCAACAGCCCAAAGGAGCCACAGGGGAAAGGACCTGAACCCTTCTTACAGGGCGGTCCACCGGGCTAGCCGATTAATGGAAAATCCATCACGAGTAAGAGAAAAGGGGGAGACCTGAACCCTACTTACAGGGTGGTCACTCAGCCCAACGCATGAAGGGGAACCTAGTCCTCCCTAAATAAGAGGCGCATGACCTGCACCCTAATTACAGGGCAGTCATACTGACCAGGCTGAGAACAAGACGCAATCCCAGAGGAGCAAAGGACAGAGACCTGAACCCTAGTTACAGGGAGGTCACCCGGCTCAAGTATCAAAGACATCAGTAGCTCCCGTAAGCGAGGGGATTGTGACTCTCACCCTGATTACAAGGTGGTCACTCTGACTAGCTGAATTAAAGAGCATAATCACAGAAGACAACTTGAGACCTGAACCCTGATTACAGGGCGGTCATGCTCCTAAGGGCCCTAAAATAACCCTAATCCCTGATAAATGAGAGGGTTTCGACCTGCACCCTAATTACGGTGTGGTCTTTCCGATTAGAAAGATAAAGGTGCATAAAGCCAGGGAGCAAAAGGGCAGAGACCCGACCCCGAATTACAGGGCGGTCACGCCCCACAAGGTATCAAAGGGCTCAGTATTTCCCATCCTACAGAAACTTGTGACACGCACCTGAATTACAGGTGGTCACAGTGAGTAGACTCTCAGCAGGGCATGACGGCAAACAGCAAGATGGCAGAGACCTGACTCCGAATTACAGGGAGGTGAGTCACCCTGCTCAGGGTTCCAAAGAGCTCAGTATCCCCCAGAAGCAAAAGGAATATGACTTGCACCCTGATTACAGGGCTGTCATCCCGACTACAGGGCTACAACAAGGCATAATGCCAAATGAGCAAGTGGGCAAAGACCCGGACCCTAGTTACAGGGTGGTCACATTGCTCAAGTTACCAAAGAGCTCCATGTCCCTCGAAAGCGAGGGGGAGGTGACTTGCACCCTGATTACAGGGCAGTCACTCCCACTAGACAGCTAACGGAGCATAATGTGAAAAGGACAAAACAGCACAGGACTGGACCCTGCTTACAGGGCGGTCACGCTGCTCAAGGTTTTAAAAGGCTCGAGATCCCCGTAGAGTGTAATTACATGACCTGAGGCCTGATACAGAGAGGTTACTGCGCCCAGAGTCCCTTGCCTTCTCCTCCATCTTCAGTGACTTGTCCTCTGTACTCTTCTTTGCTTGACATTCCTGACACTTCCTTCTTGGCCACTTGTGCTTCGAGCTGTCTGAAACAGAGAAAGGGAGCACACAGGCGTGTGTCAGTCAGAAGCTCTTACGACAACTCCGCATCCCCGACGCAAACTGAGCGTAAACTACCGATACAGTGTTGTTTTCCGGGTCTGAGACAGCTTGGCTGTTCAGCTCCAAGATAGTTCTCTGCGGTCCTCAGACAATTCCGTAAGGACTTTCCCCTTCTCCCAAGCCCCACCCCCGGGTGACAAAAATACCAAACCCATCCTACTCCAGAGGCACAATCTCCACATTTCCCCTTGACAACTATTACACCAGGCGGGCTCCAGGCTAAATCAAGAGGAATTAGATGAGTAAGGGCAGTACGGAATTAATGGACAAGTGTTCCAAAGTCATTGTCACAAGGGAAACTGCCTGGATTGACTTAGTCCAAAACTTAGTCCATAGGACCCTCCCTTTCTGAGCTTACCAGCAACAGCAGCAGGAGGTCGGGTCTCCAAGAGCACAGTAAGCGGAGCAGAAAGCAGGAGACTTGGCTGCACAATTCCAGGCAAGTTGAAAGCGCAGTGCAAAGGGCCAGGACTCTGGACACAGTCTCATGGGGGCACCATAAAAAGTGTCTGATGAGACCTGTACCCTGTTTACAGGGTGCTCATTCAGATCAGTGGGCTGCACTTGACCTAGTGCCAAGAGACTAGAAGGCAAAGACCAGAGCCCTGAAAGACAGGGCAGTCCCTCGCCTCAGGGCTGTGAAGACAGCACAATGCCAAGAACCCCAAAGGGCCTCCAAGACTCAAACCCTAGTTACAGGGAGGTCAAACTGCCCATGTTACTGAAATGGTTCCAATTCCATAAGATTTCAAAAGAGAGATGCAACCTGTACCCTGATTACAGGGTGGTCACAGGGATTAGCCAAACAGCAGAGACCGTAACCTGAATTACAGGAAGGTCAAGCTCCTCAAAGTACCAAAAGGCTCAATATGTCCCATTCTATAGATATTTGTGACATGCACCCAAATGACAGGGCTGTCACGCTGACTAGTCGGCCAGTGTATGGCGTAATGCCAGACGAGCAAGTGGGCAGAGAGCCGGACCCTAGTTACAGGGTGGTCACATTGCTCAAGTTACCAAAGAGCTCAATGTCCCTCGAAAGCGAGGGGGTGTGACTTGCACCCTGATTACAGGGCAGTCACTCTCACTAGCCAGCTAACGGAGCATAATGTGAAAAGGACAAAACAGCACAGGACTGGACCCTGCTTACAGGGCGGTCACGCTGCTCAAGGTATTAAAAGGCTCGAGATCCCCGTAGAGTGTAGTTACATGACCTGAGGCCTGATACAGGGAGGTTGCTGTGCCCAGAGTCCCTTTCCTTCTCCTCCTTCTTCAGTGACTTGTTTTTATTCCTCTTCTTCGCTTGGTAATTCTCAGACACTTTCTTCGTCTTGTGTTTGTATTTTCTGCAATTAGAGTGATATCATAGAAGACATACATTAAAAAAAATCCCAACTTCTCCACCAAAATTCAGTTATTTAATTATTATTTCTGTGAAAAACCTTTTATTTCACCGTGAATTAGAAAAGGCTGTATTCATTTAATTATTCTAAGAGTATCATACAAACAGCTACATTTTATTTATTCAAACATCATTGCAGATTCTCTTCCCTCCAAGTAAGTCATGCAAAAACATGAGCACTGATCGAGTTTAGATTTCCCTCCTGCAGTGTTACCTTAGCCTTTCCCGCTCTGGCTCTGAGCCCCTCCTCCAGCATCACCTCAGCCTTTCCCGCCCAGACCCTGAGCCCCTCCTCCGGCATCACCTCAGCCTTCCTCGCCCAGACCCTGAGCCCTCCTCCAGCATCACCTCAGCCTTTCCCGCCCTGGCTCTGAGTCCTCCTCCACCATCACCTGAGCCTTTCCCGCCCAGAGCCTGAGCCCCTCCTCCGGCATCACCTCAGCCTTTCCCGCCCAGACCCTGAGCCCTCCTCCAGCATCACCTCAGCCTTCCCCGACCAGACCCTGAGCCCTCCTCCAGCCTCACCTCAGCCTTTCCCGCCCAGTGCTCTGAGCCCCTCCTTCAGCCTCACCTCAGCTTTCCCCGCCCTGACTCTGAGCCCCTCCTCCAGCCTCACCTCAGCCATTCCCGCCCAGACCCTGAGCCCTCCTCCAGCATCACCTCAGCCTTTCCCGCCCTGGCTCTGAGCCCTCCTTCAGCCTCACCTCAGCTTTCCCCGCCCTGGCTCTGAGCCCCTCCTCCAGCCTCACCTCAGGCTTTCCCGCCCAGACCCTGAGCCCTCCTCCAGCCTCACCTCAGCCTTTCCCGCCCAGACCCTGAGCCCTCCTCCAGCCTCACCTCAGCCTTTCCCGCCCAGGCCCTGAGCCCCTCCTCCAGCCTTACCTCAGCCTTCCCCACCCTGACTCTGAGCCCCTCCTCCAGCATCACCTCAGTCTTCCCCACCCAGACCCTGAGCCCTCCTCCACCATCACCTCAGCCTTTCCTGCCCTGGCTCTGAGTCCTCCTCCACCATCACCTGAGCCTTTCCCACCCAGTGCCTGAGCCCCTCCTCCTGCATCACCTCAGCCTTTCCCGCCCAGACCCTGAGCCCCTCCTCCAGCATCACCTCAGCCTTTCCCGCCCAGACCCTGAGCCCCTCCTCCGGCATCACCTCAGCCTTCCCCGCCCAGACCCTGAGCCCCTCCTCTGGCATCACCTCAGCCTTTCCCACCCAGGCCCTGAGCCCTCCTCCAGCATCACCTCAGCCTTTCCCACCCTGGCTCTGAGCCCTCCTCCACCGTCACCTCAGCCTTTCCCACTCAGACCCTGAGCCCACCTCCAGCCTCACCTCAGCCTTCCCCGCCCAGGCTCTGAGCCCTCCTCTGGCGTCACCTCAGCCTTTCCTGCCCAGACCCTGAGCTCTCCTCCCCTCTCAGCATCACCTCAGCCTTTCCCGCCCTGGCTCTGAGTCCTCCTCCACCATCACCTGAGCCTTTTCCGCCCAGTGCCTGAGCCCCTCCTCAGCCTTTCCCGCCCAGACCCTGAGCCCTCCTCCAGCATCACCTCAGCCTTCCCTGCCCAGGCTCTGAGCCCCTCCTCCCCCATCACCTCAGCCTTTCCCAATCAGACCCTGAGCCCTCCTCCTGCATCTCCTCAGCCTTTCCTGCCCTGGTTCTGAGCCCTCCTCCAGCCTCACCTCAGTCTTTCCCGCCCTGGTACTGAGCCCTCCTCCAGCATCACCTCAGCCTTTCCCGCCCTGGCTCTGAGCCCTCCTCCTGCATCTCCTCAGTCTTTCCCGCCCTGGCTCTGAGCCCTCCTCCTGCATCTCCTCAGTCTTTCCTGCCCTGGCTCTGAGCCCTCCTCCAGCATCACCTCAGCCTTTCCTGCCCTGGCTCTGAGTCCTCCTCCACCATCACCTGAGCCTTTCCCGCCCAGTGCCTGAGCCCCTCCTCCTGCATCACCTCAGCCTTTCCTGCCCAGACCCTGAGCCCTCCTCCAGCATCACCTCAGCCTTTCCCGCCCTGGCTCTGAGCCCCTCCTCCAGCATCACCTCAGCCTTTCCCGCCCAGACCCTGAGCCCTCCTCCAGCATCACCTCAGCCTTTCCCACCCAGACCCTGAGCCCCTCCTCCGGCATCACCTCAGCCTTTCCCGCCCTGGCTCTGAGCCCTCCTCCACCATCGCCTCTGCCTTTCCCACTCAGACCCTGAGCCCACCTCCAGCCTCACCTCAGCCTTTCCTGCCCTGGCCCTGAGCCCTCCTCCGGCATCACCTCAGCCTTTCCCACTCAGACCCTGAGCCCTCCGCCAGCATCACCTCAGCCTTTCCCACTCAGACCCTGAGCCCTCCGCCAGCATCACCTCAGCCTTTCCCACTCAGACCCTGAGCCCTCCTCCAGCATCACCTCAGCCTTTCCTGCCCTGGCTCTGATCCTCTCCTCTTGTGTCACCTCAGATCTTTCCTGCCTCAGCTTGAGCCCCATCCCCGAACTCGTGCCACCTCAGGTCTTTGACCAGCCTGCTGCCTCGAATCACCTTCCTCTCCCCCTCCAGTGACGTCGACATTTCCCGCCTGAACGTGAACCCCCCTTGTGCCCTGACCCCTCCATGCCTGGCTGGAGCCCTGCCCTCTGGTGCTCCCTCAGACACTCCCCTTCCCCCTCAAGTGACCTCAGCGCTTCCCCCTTCAAGCCCAGCCCTTCCCTCCGCCCGTACCCCCTCTCTGGGTTTGCCCCCAGCCTCCTCCACCCACTTAGCGTTGCCCCTTCCCGCTCTGCAGCAATCTCAGTGCCTCCTGCCTCAGTGCCCGCCCCACGTCCCTCTTGACTGCCCAACCCAGGCTCCAGCTCCCACCACCTCAGAGCTTCCCACCAGAGCCCGGCTGCTTCGTGCCCTCTCGCTCCAGACTCGCCTTTGCCCCTGCTGCCACCTCACAGCCCGGCTACCTGCTCCTCTTTCTCAGGCAGCGCTGCTCGCTGCTTCCCAGCCCCCCTCCTTGTGGTGTTTCCACCCCTTCCTGCCGCAGCCCCGTAGCTCTGCCCCCATGTGGGAGCCTGGTCCGAACCCCCCTGCCCAGCCTGCAGCGCTTGTTCCATCTGGCGCCAACCTTCTTGCTGCTCTGGGGCGGTTCTGCCGCTGGCTCCAAGTGCGGGGGTGGCCTCCCTCTGCCACTTCTCCCCATTGCGCTCCCCCTTCCCTTCCCTGAGGGCCTGGAGCAGCATCAGCATTTCCAGGCCCCGCCTGGAAACATGGTTCTCGGCCCCTGCGCCCTGCCCCGGCTCGTGCCGCCTCAGTGGTTCTCTCTCAGTGTCGCCTCACAGTCGGCACCCGTCGTCCTCTCACTCTAAGCCCCGGCCCAAGCTCAAGTTGACTCGGGCTCCCTCACACTTAACGCCCTCCCTCTTGAACCCATTCCCGCCCGGCCCGAGCCCTGCCCCCGGGTGGCTCCCTGTGGGCTCCGTTCAGCCCTTGTGCCCGGGGCTGTTTTGGTGCCTGGTGCTGTGGTCGCAGCGGGGTCAGTCCTGAGCAGAGCTGGCCCCGGAGGTGCAAGGGACAGAGCTCACTCTCAGGCCATTTCCCACTGCACCCACCCTGGCCTCTTCCTATGGGGAGAGAGGACCAAACCATCCCCTGCTGTCCCTCAGCAGCTCACAGAGCCTGACTGCACCTGCTTAGAATCATAGAATCTTAGAATATCAGGGTTGGAAGGGACCCCAGAAGGTCATCTAGTCCAACCCCCTGCTCAAAGCAGGACCAATTCCCAGTTAAATCATCCCAGCCAGGGCTTTGTCAAGCCTGACCTTAAAAACCTCTAAGGAAGGAGATTCTACCACCTCCCTAGGTAACGCATTCCAGTGTTTCACCACCCTCTTAGTGAAAAAGTTTTTCCTAATATCCAATCTAAACCTCCCCCACTGCAACTTGAGACCATTACTCCTCGTTCTGTCATCTGCTACCATTGAGAACAGTCTAGAGCCATCCTCTTTGGAACCCCCTTTCAGGTAGTTGAAAGCAGCTATCAAATCCCCCCTCATTCTTCTCTTCTGCAGGCTAAACAATCCCAGCTCCCTCAGCCTCTCCTCATAACTCATGTGTTCCAGACCCCTAATCATTTTTGTTGCCCTTCGCTGGACTCTCTCCAATTTATCCACATCCTTCTTGAAGTGTGGGGCCCAAAACTGGACACAGTACTCCAGATGAGGCCTCACCAATGTCGAATAGAGGGGAACGATCACGTCCCTCGATCTGCTCGCTATGCCCCTACTTATCCCAAAATGCCATTGGCTTTCTTGGCAACAAGGGCACACTGCTGACTCATATCCAGCTTCTCGTCCACTGTCACCCCTAGGTCCTTTTCCGCAGAACTGCTGCCTAGCCATTCGGTCCCTAGTCTGTAGCTGTGCATTGGGTTCTTCCGTCCTAAGTGCAGGACCCTGCACTTATCCTTATTGAACCTCATCAGATTTCTTTTGGCCCAATCCTCCAATTTGTCTAGGTCCTTCTGTATCCTATCCCTCCCCTCCAGCGTATCTACCACTCCTCCCAGTTTAGTATCATCCGCAAATTTGCTGAGAGTG